ATTCTGCAGACTCCGTTTCCAGAGCAGTGTTCAGGTCTATCTTGACCATCCTCTCTAACAAACATAGAATCGAGACGGTTGAGCCATTGATAACACAGCTGAACCAACAAGCACAGACAGTTTTACAGCAGGCCCAAAATGCTGCTGACGAGACCGACACCTCAATCTACACGAAATCCCTGTCCCTTTTCGCCATCGCCGCTGGAGTCCTCCGTCGCTTCTGTGGAAAGCAAATCCAGCCACTCCTCAAACTGCTCAGCGAAGTCCCCACAGCCGGCGCCACTGGCAAGCAGCTGAGCCAGCACCTGGAGCTGGTCGTCGCGCCGCAGGCGATCCTCGCCAAGGAGAACTTCGCGGTCGTGAAGCCCCTGTGGATGCAAAAGATCTACTTCCAGTTGGTCAAGCCTTTGCTGGAGGCTGCGCTGGCGCCACCCGCCGCGGACGCCCCCGCCAACAGCAAGGCGAGCATCAACGTTGGCGTCCTCTCCCTCATCAAGCACATGAACTTCCCCATCTACGAGGAGGACTCTGAGAAGGTCATGCGGATCGCCATCTCGACTGCCCAGAGCGGCACAGCCGGCGTCGCTGACACCAGGGCTGCTCTAGAGGTGCTGAAGAACATCGTCGTTGAGTCCCCCGATAAGGGCGAGTCTCACGCCCGCAGCATTATCGACATTTGCGTTGGCGAGATATCTCTCAAGAAGACCTCGCGCGAGCGTGATGCCGAGACTGGCAAGACTGCCATGGAGATCATGGTCGGGCTGCCACGGTTGTTCGATTCGCGGCATCTCCTCCCCCACCAGCCCCAGGTCGAACGGGAGCTGGCACTGGCCTGTGGAAACCCAGTGCGGGAATTGCGAAGGCTGGCGAGGGTGGCAAGAGCAGCGTGGTCGGATCTAAAATAGAGCTGGGCATATACTTAACAGGGTACATATATGTGTATAAACAAGTTGGTGTATGGGGGGACTTGATTCTAGTGCATTACATAGAGGACGGAGCATCGGTCGGGTTGGATATGTCAAGTAAGAAGGCACATCCTAATAGCATCGTCTCTTGCAAACCTTTTGAGGAATTCATCATTGACAAACGTTAGCCGTGAAACAAAAACTGACGGCTGTATTGAAACCCTATTTTCCGCTCCCATATACAGCGTACTCTTACACGTTTGAAACCCGGATTTGTCCGCTACCCAATAAATCAAAATCACACCCTTTTTACGCCTTTCTCCTCTTTCCACCGGCCTTCTTCTCAGTCCCTGTAGCCTCGGCCTCCTTTTCTGAGCCGGCGTTCAGGACTGCGCTCAGCAGCTCTGGGTTCTCGCTTAGAAGCTTTTCGGATGCGGCCTGGAGACGCTTGGAGTCGGCCTTGCCGACGACGGAGATGTTCGTGGCGAGGAACTCCTGGAAGGGCTTGGGGACGAACAGGCCGGACTCGTTGAAGAACTCGCTGAACGGCTTGGAGATCTTGAATGCCTTGGTCTTGCCGGTGGACTTGTCCTGGATCGCGATCTTGAGCCGATACACGGGCTCCATCTTCTTCGTCTCGCTGGCAATGAAGAGCTGTAATTTAGACATATTAGTTTAGGATCGAAGCTGCCTTCCCCCGGGTTTGCTCTGAGAGACGTACATCATCACCTGAGGGGGCTTTCCCTTGGTAGATTGTGCCCTGCTCGACCCTCCACGTCCACAGGGTGAGGGCGCCGCTGAGGACGGTGTATATGGCGACGGCGACGGCCGTGTAGAGCTTGGTCGATTCCCAGCCGAGCTTGTAGTCCCAGAGGGCACATGCGGCGGCGAGGATGAAGGACGAGTAGCCGAGGGCCAGGCGCACGTCGATCATGGAGTGTGACTGCTTGAATTTGATGGAGTTGAGGTAGTTGGCAATGGCATCGTCGGCGGCATTTTTGAGGTCTGTGGAAAGAGAGGGATTGTTAGCTTTGGTCGCTGCAGGAGCTTGAACGCGACTTGTAGGTGGTGGTATGCGTACCTGGGAGGTTGTAGAGGGTGATTTTCTCAGCCATTGTGTGTGGATATGCGAGAGAGATCTCGGCTAATAAATTGAGAAGAGTAGATAGCCAACAAAAAGAAAGAAAGAAGAAGGAACAAGATGGGGTATCGTGAGGATCTGAAAGTTGGTTTGCTGTCTAATGCGATAATCGATACGTGGTGTTGAAGGGACCGAGTGGGGCGCTCACCCAAGTGGGAAAGCAAGCTGTCATTTTGGCTGTTCCTTCGGCGCCGGCGGAAACCAGCCTCCGACCACAGCTCAATTGGAGACAGAAGTCGACCGTCATCATCTTCCATCTGGCACCTCAATCCATCCAATTCACCGTTCGATCGCTTCTCCCTCCGCATCCGACACCATGGCGCAAGTTCCCGTGCAGGTGATCGTCCGAGATCCCCAGTTGTTGTAGGTGCTCCCCTCTGCCGCCGAGCTCCCCTCCCTAGTGAACACGACAGCTAACCCTGGCCCGCCCAACAGCTACTGGATTCTCTTCCCGATTACCATTGTGATGGTGCTCACCGGTGTCCTCCGACACTATGCCTCCGTGATGCTTGCCCCCGCGGTCAAGAAGATCGACGCAAAGACCATGCGTGAACAGCGCTCGCTGGGTCGCGGCGTCGCTCTCCGCACCAACTACCACGCCCTCACCAAGAAGTCCTTTGAATCTCGACGTGAGACCCTGACCGCCAACTACGAGTCAGGCGCATACCTGAAGGAGCCGGACAGGAAGGGCCAGCCTCCCGCCAACCCTCTGTCAGACCCCTCCCAGATGGACGGCATGATGGGCATGATGAAGAACAACATGGCCATGATTATCCCCAACACCCTGATCATGAGCTGGATCAACGCCTTCTTCAGTGGCTACGTTATCAGTACGTCGCCCACCAAGCATTGTCCTTATGGGCTATCAGCTAGACAATCCACTAACGCCTGAAAAATAGTGAAATTGCCCTTCCCTCTCACCATCAAGTTCAAGAGCATGTTGCAGGCTGGTGTGCAGACCAAGGACATGGACCCCCGATGGATGTCCAGCATCAGTTGGTACTTCCTCTGCATTTTCGGTCTGCAGTTTGTCTATGTGTTTCTACTTGGAAGCGACAACGGTACGTCTTCATCCCCCAATGCTACCTAGGGTGTAGTACTGACTGCAATAAATTCAGCTGCCAGCCAAGTTGCGCAGCAAATGCAAGCTCAGCAGATGCCCAACCCCATGGGTGGACCTGGCCAGGACCCCGACAAGCAGTTCAAGGCCGAGGCTGAGAACCTTGCCGTCGTTGACCACTACTCTGTGTTGGATGACGTTACGGACCGATTTCTTGAGGGCATCAAGGCCTAGGTAGATTGTTTCATCTAAAATCCTACTAAGGACATAGAGTATCAAAAGGCTGCGCTGAATATATCGTTCCGATCCATTTATCTCGGCTCATTAGTTGTCCCACCAGAGACAGACACCAAGTCCTTCCCGCGCCATGCTTCCCTTGATTTTGTACGGCGCCACTGCGTTTTCCTCTTCATCCGGGCCGCCTAGGCTAGTTTGGCTGGGTCCTGCAGGTGTTTGGTCGTGCCAATCCTCCTCGATGACCTGAAAGCGTACCGTTTCGTTGGTATCGTAGTACAGCCTCACGTCATCCATCTTCCAAATCCAGAGCTGGTCGCTATGGCTGCTGCACAGGGGGGTCAGTGCTATTCCTCACGGTTGCGGGGAGAGTACGTACTACTCGGAGCCAGCAGGCAGTTCCTCGAAGGGGATGAATATGTCATTGAAGAAGATTGTAAATAGGTTGATGCCTGAAGGAGTTGAGCTTTTGATCTTGCCTAGCATAACCTCCCCCTTGAAGGGACGAAAGACAATCATGCGAAACTCCACTGATAGTCGGAAGAAGTGTTAGTAATGATGATTATCTTGTAGAAGGAAAATATACGGATTGTATGTCTGTACCATTGACGTTGACCTCGCCTGTGCCGTGACCAATCAGGCCCTCTGAGGTCCAGAGAATGTCATAAAGAGCGACACATAGTCCAATTTTTTGAAGCACCTGTAAGACGATGGTGAGCTTGAAGGTTATAATCAGTTCAATGAAGCAGGGGTTTACCTTATTTGCGTATTTGGCGTTGATATTGTCCTCAATGGCCTCTATGCTGGGCTTGGAGAAGTCGGCTGCTTTAATCTGAACCAGATCGGCGATTTTGGTCTACACCAGGACACGCAGGATGAGTGTGAGCCACGGCGGTCATCATGAAGCGACGGGGATTTGATTGGTGGGGTAGCTGTGCGTCCAGTCTGCGCGGCGCAAACGTACCAAGATGAACATGTTGTCCGGCTATAGGTCAGAAGCCCCGGGGGATAACAATGAGCCGTAGGATGCTGTGATGGATGAAGGCGTCATCTCCCAGTCACTGGAACCGCGAAGATGTGAGTCAGTGCGAGCAGCTCACGATGACCAATGTCCTGCTGGTCGCCTGCAAAAAGCGACTTTTCCCTTGACGTTTGTCGCTGAATATTCCTCGGCAGAAAAGAAGTTTGATGTAGGCGCTAGGCTGCTGTCGGACTAGTACAGATCTCACCGCTTTCCGTATATGGACCAGCTCTCACTGATTCACAGCAGGAGCGACCAGACAAAGCGCGGCTTCCCTCTGGACAGACAGGCTTGTCAAATTAATTTGTCTTCGTCGCCACCAGCCAGGTAATGTTGTGGTTTTCCTTCCTGTCGCAGCTGCTGTGGTCGACCTGTTAGATGTGCTTGGTGTAGTTTCTTCCTGTTTATTACCTCTGTCAACTTCTACTTTCCCTTCCGTCTATCCCCAGTACCCAACTGCTGCGCGTTTCTTGTCGAGCTTCGCCCAACACCAAACACCACCAAACACAACCTGGAGTCCGGATCTGCCTTCGTCTCCCTTGATCGCCGGCCACCTATACCGATAGATCCAACTCGCACCTTCACATAACACAGTTTCCAACATCCGTGACGGCATCGAGTCCATCTAAGACCATCACCATGTCGTCATACGGCTACGCACCGCCCCCGCCTCCTCCCGCCCCGAGTTCGGGACCTAGCTACGGGCAGAATCCCAATTCTTCATACAGCCGTGGAGGAGGAAGTAATGGGCGTGGTCGAGGTGGCCACTATTCTAACGCGCGCTCCGACTACAAGTCCCAGCAGCAGCCTCACTATGAACACTCCAGCCAACACTACCCCCAACAACCCCCCGCCTACAGCAGCTACCCTCCCACGCAGCAATGGTCTCCAGAGCACGGCCATCCACCTACCCAACATGCACATGCACACGCCCACCCCCAAGCCCCGATTGCATCTTCAACTTACCATCCCAGCTACCCTGCCCAGCCCTACACCGCTCCTCAGTATCCTCAGCAGCCTCCCTACGGCCAGCCTCAGCCTTATACTCAAGCATACCCTCCGGCTTCGGTCGGCTCTGCACCCCCGCCGCATTGGAGTGGCCAAGGGCATGTCCCTCCTGCGCCATACGGGGATAGCAGACCTCGAGGAGGATATCAAGGTCGTGGAGGGTCAAAGCAGCCCCCGGCTGTCCGTTATGAACATGAACCTCCCGCTGTTCCAGTGAACGGTTATGCGCAGCCATACCCTCCTCCCTCTCAGTACTACTACTCTGGTCTTCCACCACCTCCTACACAATCTTCGCACCGAGACGGACGTCACGGCCATAACAATAGCCATGGGCGTCGTGGCGGTCAAGGTAATCGAGGCCGAGGCCGAGGAGGACACGGCTCTGGGGACCGAGGGCGCAGCCACCATAAATCCAACAACGATCATGGGGCTCATCATGGCCAGCAAAAGGGCTCGCAGCAAAAGCAAAACCCGCAGTCGAAACAGAACCAGGGCCAGCGTGAGCTACCCATTGTGGGCAGGAAGAAAAAGAGAAAGACCAACACTCTTGGACTGACGCCTGGGATGGAGTCTGAGTCTGAGGACGACGAAGGAGAAGAGGAAGCCCTCGTCAAACTTCTCGGACAAGAAAAGTTCCAGTACGTATTCTGTATTTTTGATCACAACGTCGCAGGTTTCTAACCTCTAAGCAGAGTGGACGACATTGCCGAATTTATTGCTGAACGAAAGCGAAATTACCCCACCAAAGCTCGGAGAGAGGCCAGGAAGGCCGCCGAGGCAGCACAGAAGAATGAAGAAAAGAGGACATCACTGGAGAGGCAAGCTGATAAGTTGAGACGCCAGCTTCGTAAGGTGGAGTCATCTATTAAACGAAAGCGAGAACAAGGCGATGAAGGAGACGAGATGCGCGACCCGTCATCTGATGAGTCGTCGGATGATGAGAAGCCAGAGGAGGTCTCCTCCCGGCCCCCGGCTTCCAACTCGGCCCCTGCCCCTGCTGCGCAGCCTGGCAAGAGAGCTGATGTTACCCGTCACTGCAAGTATTTCTCAACTGGCGGGACCTGTGGCAAGAAGAGCAAGTGCCGCTTCGTCCATGACCCTGCTGTTCGCGACGCCGCGATTAAGGAGCGCGAGGCCAACAACGGGCGCCTGACAATTCAGCAACGCTTGATCCTAAACGACAAGGAACAGGAAGACCTGACCATCCTTGCATCCATCCAGTACCTTCGTGAGAAGGGCGTCACGACAAAGGCCGCCGAGGAGGAAAGCCAAAGGAAGACCGTCGCGCCAGTGCTCGTACCTGGTTCTTCCAAAAGCCTCCTACCTGCCGCGCCTCCCTCCTTGCCCGCTCCGCCCATTAAGAGAGAGCCGGTCGGGCGGAGTAAGCCTCCACCATCCATCATTCCCAACGCTAATAGCATCAGTGCCCAAGGGCTAAAGCACTATCAGGGTTGGTTGTTAAAACCATATGGCAGTTCCAGCACCAAGACATCTCAAAGTGAGAATTTACCATGATTGCCCCCTTATTAGGAAAAAGATTGTTATGGGTAGCCTCTTTTTTATTTTGTTGCCTTTTTGCGAGGAAAGGTCTGAGCGGTTGAACTAGCCATCCAAATTATCTTAACTCCAGTCTTCTTGGGCCAGCGCTTTGTGGGCTTTTCTATCTGAACGGGAGAGTATTGGGAATTGAACTTATTCTAATTAGAACTGCTGGTATAGCAGGATGCCGAACTAGGTCGTTCATAGATGGTTGAACTGGATTCATCCAAGTTAAATTGACAGATATCACATTTACGCATTGCTCGACTGGGGACCTAGTATATGTCTGTGTGTAGCGTACTCTGCAGAGCTCGCTCGTAAGTTTGTATTGTATCACTAGGCTGATCTGATGTGAATGATCTAATCCGTAGGCCTTTCACCGCACCATATCCATTCTCCTCTATTCATCATCCATGACATGTATGATTAGCAGCATCGCTTCAACTTGTCTGCAAGGTTCCAAAAGGAAAAACAGGAATAGCCGAGAAATGAAGTAGGCGGAAACGCAAGTAAGTGTACAACTCCAACGCTGATGGGTACCAAACAACCGAAACCAAAAACAAGAGTGTGCATGGGGAAACGTGGGGAAAAATAAAATCCAGACGAAAGACAACATTACGACGGACCAAACTCCCCTGGTGATGCTGCCGATAAACAGAGAAGAAGTCAAAAGAACTACCATTCTCGGCGGCCGACCTAACGCCCCTGGAGATACCGCCTTCTCCGGTCTTCCTTTTCAGCCTTGAGCTGCTTTTCCCTGCGCTGCTCAATTTCGTCTTCGCGACGGGCGATCGTCTCTGCTTTTCTCTCTTCGAGTTCCAAATCGTCCATTCCGGCCTCCATGTCCGACTCGGAACCGGAGTCGTATCTATACTGTGCCTCCTCCTCATCGTCGTAATCAATGAAATCGTCCAGCTCTTCGTCATAATCTTCCTCATAACGCGAATATCTCGAAGAGCCAGCTCGAGGGGCTGGTCTATTTAGAAGCGCTCCGCCCCGGGGAGCCTTGTCGTTCCTTGAGGCGCTGCCAGGCTTAGGTCGAGCCGTCCCAGTGTAACCTGTCGTCGCCGTCGCGGCCTTCTTCTGCTTCTTGTCCGCCTCCTCCATGGGCTGTTTCCTGTCCCGATCCGATGGCCTGGCCGCTGGTCTACCTCGGGAGGGGTCCCTGGAGCCACCTACGAACGCGGTGGGTCGCGTCGAGGCTTTGGATGTGCCGGTGTAGGACGACGACGATACCGGTTTCTTTCCAGCCGGGCGAGGGTCGATCCTGGCTCGTGGGTCGGGCTTGGTAAACACTTCCTTCTCCTTCTTCATTATGCCCTTCTCTACCTTCTTGTGCTGGATCTTACCAACCTGGCCCATCGTCTCCTGGGCGGCCTTTGCTCTGGCCATAATCTCAGCGAACGAGCCCTTCTTCGGAGGGGCTCTCGACGCGGCGGCACTGGCTGGCGACGGGCCATTGCTCGACGACCGGACCGGGGCACTAGGCTTGGTAATTCTGTGCGTACCGTTCGTCGGCTTCAGAGCCGAGGACACGGTCGACCTGACCCCGTTTCCATTCGTCGACTGCGTAGAGTTCGGTCGGTCAAGCGGCCGCGATGGTTGGATAGGTCGCGAGACTGTGGGGGAGTTTATGCGTGGAGCCTTGGAAGCGATTTGGAGCTGCTCCTCAGCCTTTCGCTTGGGTGCGGGTTCACCACCTCCGATGGAGGCTAGAAGATCACCGATCTAGAAAAGTCGGCCAGAGTTAGCGGGAAAAAGTCTAAGAGGGGAGGCAAGGGTGCCCGGTTACTCACAGCCATCGTGAATCAGACGGTGAAGACGTCCGTGGAAGGATGTGTTGGGTTTGAGCCACTCAGCAGCAGTGAAAAATACGCCCCGCGACCAGGTGTTTCGTTAGTGAGTCATCGGTGTATGCGTTTGACACGAGGATCCGGCTCCTTGGGAGTCTATGATGGGTCCTCGATGACGGAGGAAGGATGGGTCTCGGTATGGCTCACACGCCGGGAGCCTGATAGGCGAGGGTTTTCGGGGTTATGCGACCGTTCGGAAAGTTTTGTTTTAGTCCCGGCGCTCGAAATGGACGACTTCCGAAGCCTTGTGATGGGAGATGTGACGATTATTCGAAAAAGAATGAAGGGTTGCACGGGATAGAAATGAACAGAAAATGCTGGCGAAGCAGGTGAGGGAAAAGAGGGGGAAGAGAGGAGGTTGATACGGAAGGAGAGAACAAAAGCAACGGGATTGTCGTTGGCAACAAGCGTCACTACAGGCAGCAAGTGCCGTTGTTAAGTCATTCACTGGACAAGCCACATCCTTCCTCGGGCGAAACGGAGCACGTGAGTGGCTGAAGCATCTTTCTTATCAGGCATTATCGCCAAGGGATGTGGCTTGCATTGCCAACCCCCCGATTGGCGCTTCCCATGTCTGCAAGGTGGGGCCTTCCTGCAAAATTCGGGAGCACAAAGGCAGGGAGATGCAAGAGAGAAAAAAGGTACATGAGCAAAGTACCAGTCCCGCCCTAATTGATTTTAGTGTGCCCACACAAAATTCACAAGAACATTTCTAACCGAACATCGCGGCTTGTTTCGTTTCCTTTTCACCAACAACCAACCTCACCAGAACTCGAAGGTTTCAGTCTCCGCCCAATTTGCGGTTAAAGTGATTGATTTCTCGTGTTTCTATATCTACAACGTGAGTCCCCTCTCCGAATCCCAGATTCTCCTTCTCCCCATCCAATTCCAGAGCCTGGACTGTACCGAAATTCAAACTTACAAACTTTCTTCCATCCAGGATAAAAACAAGTCAAAATGAAGCATCTCGCTGCTTACCTCCTCCTCGGCCTCGGTGGCAACACCTCCCCCTCCGCCAAGGACATCAAGGCCGTCCTTGAGTCCGTCGGTGCTGAGGTCGACTCTGACCGTCTCGACACCCTGATCTCCGAGCTTGAGGGCAAGGACATCAACGAGGTACGTCAATCCAATTGCCCCTGAGGCGCAAGTCCCCTCTACCCCCACGCCATACTGACATTTCTCCAGCTCATCGCTGCCGGTTCCGAGAAGCTTGCTTCCGTTCCCTCTGGTGGTGCTGGTGGTGCCGCCGCCTCCGGTGGTGCTGCCGCTGCTGGCGGTGACGCCCCTGCCGCTGAGGAAGAGAAGGAGGAGGAGAAGGAGGAGTCTGATGAGGACATGGGCTTCGGTCTCTTCGACTAAGCGCTCACATCTCCAGCAAATATCAAGACTCATTTCGAAGGTTATATGGGCTAGGTTGTGCGGCTGCGGTCGCTCATGGCTGGGAGTCAAAGGTGTCTTTTCGGGTTAGATGGGAATACCACATAGCACTCAGCTTGTGAAAATAAAATTACGGCTTGCCTACTTCGAACCAATTTTCCTTCTACCAGGAGTGATGTGTGATGAATGTTGAAGCATCTCGTATCGAATATAGACACTAATACCAACAGGAACAGGAACGGCAGAAGAAAGCGCCGCAAAAAACAGATGATCAATCTATTTCACTGATGATGTCTCCCATGGTTGACCCTACAGAAATTGACCCCTCCCCCACCACGAAAAAAAAAAAAGAATCGCGACAGAGTTCGCAGGGTAGGCCCCCACCAAGCAAAATTAGAAACCCCAGCTTAGACTGGTGAAGGTCGCTGCAGAGCTTCATTACCTGACCACGATAGTTGGTGATTGCTATTCGGCGACAGTGCTAGCCCCAAGCTTACGCTCGTTGGGCGGAAGTAGGTTGACAACCAATCCCTTGATTGCGAAGGGAGCTCGACAGGGCTTGGTGGTGAAAACACGACGGGTATCTCAGCCGAACCGTCACATGCCTCTCTTGTCGAATTTCCTCTTTCCCATTGGTTCGTATTAGTGTGACTCAAACGGAGAGTGGCTCATACATGCTGGGAAGACTCACATTCTCGTATCTTCGTGTAGCGGGTGACTGGCCACAGTCCTCGCCACCGAGGCACTTGCAGGGGGTTGAGATGGGACAGGAGGAAGATTGCGAGTATCGTGGGATTGCCTTGGGACATTGGGCTTTTTCTGCCTCCTCAATGAGTTGCTCCATCCTCTTCTTGTCCCAATCTCTGACGGTGAACCTCGGGGTACGGCAGCCCGTGATGGCCTGCGAGGTCGATTTACAGGAGCTGTGTATTTGGATTGGTAGTGCGCAGGATAGGAACTCCCCCGGATATGTCTGGAGTGCACTGGCCCGTCGACTGAGTGCCGATGACAGAAAAAGCCCAGCAATCCCGCGATGAGAATGGCTGCGGCGCCTCCCAGGGCAATTCCCACGACTTGCCCAGCCCCAAGGATGAAGTCGCCATCACCACAGGAGCGGCTGTAAAGAGTCCCTGGTGATTCATCGTCCTTTGATTCTTCCTGGACTTGTACCGTGAAGTTCCGGGAATCGTCATTCCACAATCGTAGGTTCTTCCCCTCGGTCTGACAAGCCAGCATGAGTACTGCGGTCAATGACACATTCCCTTGGAAACGACTCACCGGGTTGATGACTCCCACCATCTTGTGCTCAGAACAGTCGTCATTGCTGCCAGAGTAGAAGAACATTGGCTCTGACTCATTCACTTGCAGCTGAAAAATCAAGGGCTACATTTCCACTAGTAAGCAAGAATTTCCAACAATGAGGGGTTGTTTCGGCCGGCCTACAGCTTGTCCCGGCGTCTCAACCACCCTCTCTCCGCTTGAGAAGCCTCGTCCATCCGGGTGAAAGTCTTCGTAAGGAGAACATGGGTGGTCAAAGTCTCCTCTTAAGATCTGGTGAGTACCTGACCAAAACTGCCACTCGATGTAATCACCAAGCTCTGCAACAACCTCGCGCGGTTTAATCATGTATCTAGACTTATCGGTCTCTTGTAAGCTTCTATTTTGGGCCACTGTATGAGAGCATCGAGGAGCGCAACACTATACTTACCTTCCCTACGTTGATTGTATGTGTAGCTCTACTCTGGGAAATCGTCCGTGAAACTGAAACAAAGTCATTTACTGTTGCCGTGGCGCGAGGCGATAGTGTCTGGGCCAGGCATCTTGTCACAAGCAATGCGAGGAAAACGCTGTGCCACTTCATCGTCATCAGAGCTTTTCCGGATACGCAAGGAAGATGAAGCTGGGACAGAATAACACATAGGTTTGGGACAGGCGAGGAGAGGAACAACAAACCTCAGACTGTCTCTATAAAAAGAGGATATGCCATGGATGTCATCGCCTCGTGACGGTGCTAGGGACACAACCAACGACAACTCTGCCTCAACCCACACCACGCTTACCAGTCTAGTCTAGAGTAAATATTAATGACCGGCAAGTTTGAGAAATTTCCAAAATCCACTCGATCCATGGAACAATAAGAAAGAACCCATTGTGTTGAAGGGGTGAAGAATAAGTACTGATCACTCCGGGGTCTAGGGTATGGTCCACAACCCACAATGTCCGCACTCAAGATACCAGCCTTGTCACAGATGTAGATGGAGTTGGACGGAATTGGAAGTGGAGCGAGTCATGAACCAGTTCGGACATAAAACCATGTGGCCGATTGAAGCAGGGGAGATGGTGTTGGTGGACTGCCAACACGATGTGTTGGTAGCCTTGCATGGATTTAGGCGCCGAGCGCGTGCAGCCAAGATTTTCTTCGGGGAAGATCTAGGCACCGAAGCGAGCAGATTCGCCCATTTACGGAAAGTTGTGGCTACAAATTAATGTCCGGGGCTGTATTTTGAAGCTGACGGCGTGTACGGGGTTGTTGGTTGTGCCAACGGCGTCATCTGGTGTTCAAATACAGCCACGAGGCATGGGCTCCTTCTTCCTAATGTGGCTATGCATACACACTTGGACATTGTTGGAGTTTAGAATTCTGACCCGATTGGAGGCGTAATAGGTGTGCTAATGCATGGATTGAATGTATAACGAACATGCTTATGCATGAACTGTGGAGGAGGGAAGGGGGAAACTGATCACAGAGCGAATGGTAACGAATCTCATCAAATCTCAGAAACAAATCAAGATCTTTTGAACCAACTGAAGAGAAAGGGTATCATTAATCTACACCACCAGCCAACAGGCCCTCGTCCTTGCTCTAGGGCAAATTCCGCTTCTCGTAACTTACAGGGTAACCGGGGGAGGGGAAGGGGGAAGAGAGGGAAGAGAGGTGGGTCAACACTGTCGAGCTCCCTTTCTCCCTAGCTTCAAGACATCACCAACAAGCTCACAGCTGTGTTTCAGGACAGGAAGCTTTGTCTATCGTCTAAGAACAGGAAGGGAAGGAATGTGATGAGCTATGCCTCTCATTGAGTCTTCTTCGTGGAAGAGACGAGATCACTGTGGGATACCAGTTTCCAGAAACACCACAGGTAGCAGAGCCCGAAGCCGACAACCCCCACGCCGACATTGGCGACTGTCCATAGGTCAGGCTTGTTCAATGGTGGAGCGAGGTATGCCTGGACAAAATGCCATGCTACCATAGCAACATAGAAAACACTGTGGGTCACAAGCGTGATGATCTTGGACCAAGTCATCGCACCTTCGGTGTAAACACTCCAGGAAGTGGGGGGTAATCCCAACAGGTAGGCCCAGAGCAGCGTCAGCACTCCATAGGGAACAGCGAGATCAACACGCTGGAGCAAGGGAAACATGGTCCAGGCACCCAGGAGGTTAGCGAACCCGACCCAAGCCCGAGTCTCCCACTCTAATCCCTGTCTTCCTGCGAGGAGAAGAGTCATAGGCATCAAGGGAAGGAGGACGCTCTTCTCATGCACTTGCCAGCTGAAGAGGAAAAACCCCCACGCTGTCGTTGCAAACGCAAGGGGGAGGGTCTCCTTTCTTGGCCGAACGAAAGTAACAAGGTTGGGAGGGATGATGGATAGAAGGGTGGCAGCAGCAGCACCTTTTTGGAGAAGCTCGACTGGAAAGCTCTTCAGCTTCACGACGACGTTCAAGGCGCACCAAAAGTTGGCCACTTTGTCCTCGAAAAGGCCACGAGCGAAGGGGAATACGCGGTGGATGATTTGAACGAGCTGCTGGACGATGGGATAGTAGAAAGCCTTCGGATCTAGGTACTGTGCAAGGGCTGTGAAGATGGGGAGATCTGAAGGGGGGCCATCTGCCTCGTTTCCAGGGTTCACTTTACGGTAGACATCGTAGTAGGTTCCGAGAACGACGGGTAAAACAAGGGCGGCAAAACTGACAAGGGTGACCAGGGTAATACCAAACAGTCGTGAAAGATTTAGCGGGAAAATGCACCTCCCCAGAAGATATGCGAAGACTGGGAAGGCATAGTACAGCGCCATCTGCTTGAATCCGAGTGCTCCGACAAAGAACACCGCAGCCCACTTGTAGCGCTCGGCCAACATACTCGACATGCTAGCCAGGACCAGTCCCAGCATAACGGTGTTGTATTGAAAGTGGACATGATCGATTAGGATGGTCGAGGGCTGCATCAAGATGGCGACCAGAGCGACGGACGCGGTCCATTGAGAGACGGAGCTGAGCCGGCTGTATCGTCGGACAAAGACAATGGCGGCTGGGGCGTAGGTCAAGTATTCAGAGATGAAGACGGTGGCCCTCATGAAAACCTTCAAGTTGGGGTCCTCGATTCCGCGAGAGGTGTAGAGTGCGAACCAGTCGGGGTTGATCAGGGCTCCCACCTTGCCCAAAACCCAGCTGTGGTAGGCCGTGAGAGGGGGGTAGTCGAGGCCCCACCATTGGAGGTCGTGGAAATACCATTGCGATACGGGGAGATGCGTGGTGATTTCCATCCAGTGTCGCTGCGCCTCGTAGTCTCCGAACATGGGAGGTCGTTGGAAGCCTGACTGCTGAGTTAGCCGGAGCTCGTGCTCAGGTGAATGGTTGGCGATGGCTTACCTGAATAGCCCCAGAGTCCAGCAGCCCAGCGAAAGAGTCCCACGACCATCAGGACCAAGGGTAGGACCTCCCATTGCGACGATGATCTCCTGGCCGGCCAGAGGAACGACGCGAGAGGAAACGAGGGAGCGCGGACTAAGGTGGCATTGGCGACGCGGGTTCGTAGAGGCTTCTCGGTTGCACTGCCGGGCTTCTTGCCCTTACGCCTGGGCTTATGGGGTAACGGGCTCGATCCAGCCATGGTTGTTGTCTACATCAATGCCCAGCGGAAGCAATCGATGGTGTTTGTACGGTTGTTGCTCGCCCAGATGGTCGTGGTGCGAGATGGATGGATTCGTGTCCCAACGAGCTACCCTTGGTATGCGCATGTCATTTCGCAGGAGAGCTGCAGGGATCGATGGCCAATTAGAAGTTCCGGGGGTGGAAGCTGGTCCCTCTAGGTTAGGCTGATCGACATGGTGTCTGGGTTGAGTGCTTAGTCACAGAAGTCACACAGTGTCATTGCGTCTCTCTGCACGGGCTCCGACCTGCCTGTGAACACTTGTTAGGCGTAAAAATCTTCTTGCGCGAGAGCCGAGACACAGTGCATGCGATGGCCCTTCACACTGGGCCTGTGTCCCGCACCTCGAAGCTCTTGAAGTGAATGAGACGAGACCAACCGGGTGGCGTTATTCTGTCAGCTCTGTCTCAATGTCAAGGTCAATAGATGAGGGCCTTGTACAGTCCTTACTTGCGCGGAGTACGGCCAGAATCCGATTCGAATAGAATCATCCACGATGCCTTATCCTTTTATCCTTCCCACCACCTCGTCTTTTTCCTTCTCATCCCACTTTGAGTGCGAGACTCACCCCTCCTTGCCACTCAATGCGAGCACATACCGTGGGGTCGCACGTGAGGCCCTCAAGAAACACAAGCGTCTCCATCCTTCTGAGCAGATCGGCCATCTCTCGACAGTCTCAGCCAACCTGAACAGCTACATTCCCTACCTTCTGGCCATTGACGCTGGTCTTCGTGATGGGAGACTCCCCACAGGCGACGTCATCCACGTGAAGCCCAAAGGCACACCCACCATCAAATGGCGCGCGACACTCTCAGGCGACGCCGTGCCTGGGAAAGAGAGGTCACGGGCGCGGATCAACTCCATTGAGCACGAGATATATTTCATTCTCTCATCTCTGGGCTTTACACACGTCTTGGCATCAAGAACGGCCCTGCAGCCCCTCTATGCCACCAACAGCGACTTCCTTGGCCCGCAAGAGCGCACCGTAGCGGTCTCTACCGCGGCAAAATCCTTGATGGAAGCCGCTTCTATATACACCTATCTTGCTACTAGGACCGAGGGGACTTCTGTGAACCCCCCATGTGTCGATATCGCCCCAACTACAATCCGTGCCCTGGCCGCTCTGGCCCATGCCGAAGCCACTCTGCTTGCAGTTCTCAAGGATGATCCCTATCCAGCTGCTGTCGCGCAAGATAGGAACAAGAATGACAAGGAATGGATGTTCAAGCCTCCCGAGATTCCCAAAGTTCGGGCTCACCTGTATGCTCGTCTTTGTTTGGCTGCTTCAGAGCATGCTGCTAAAGCTGCCTCCTTGGCCCAACCCACTGGGTCTGGCCCGACTGGAAAGATTGAGTCTGGCCTTGCAAAATACATTGAGAACTTCCGCCGCACCAGCCGGGCAAAGGCCTGCAGATTCCTGGGTATTGACGCTGAGCTTGGTGGCCAGACCGCCGATGGCATTGGATGGCTCCGAGCCGGACTTCAAGAACTTGGCGTGGAGGTCAAAGACTCCAAGAAGGGAATCAGTCTCAGCCGGTTCAAGAAAGAGTTTTCTGAGAGGAGGGAAGACCGTCGTGTCGAAAAAGAAACCGGCTGGGGCGCAGACGCCGGGCGATTGGAAGAGATTAGAGTTCTCGAGATGCTGGATGAGAAATGGACCAAGATCAACGATACGGTGAGCCAAACGAGCAAAGGAATCGCATCTCATAACTAATCTGATAATCTAGATGAATACGAAAGTGATACCGTCTATCAATTCATTACTGGCGAAGATCCCGTCTGGTCGCGACATCCACACAATCGCCCAATATCATCCTCCCGCGTTGGACCGTGACGTCCTCGAGGCAATGCGAGCCCTGCCTGAGGGAAACGATGAATTTGGACCAGACTTGAGCTCAGATGATGACGTCCAGAGCTCGTCGATTACCCCGATCGGCGCTTTCCCTGGTGCTTCTGAAAATTATGAACGGAGTTCCACCGCTGCGAGCTCACATACTTATTTCTAACCGGGAGGAGATGAGCACACATTGAATGGACATAATCTGTGCAGATGGTATGGACCCTCGAGGGCCGATCCCGCAGATCTGTGTCGCAGGCTCCAGTGGTGGCTTTTGATCCATGGTGATCAAAAGTTTTGGAGTGTCTCGGCTGTTGCTGCTCAGGCTGGGTACGGTTCGAGTATGAAGAACAACCCAGTCTGTTGAAAGCACTTGCTAAGTATCATCACTGAGATCATGAACTTGCCAGGTTGGTAGCAAAGGATGCCAGATCATAGATTCTGCGGTGCTATATGAATCTCAAGAGCTTAGCCCCGTTAGTACTCATCATCGGCGCAACTGTATGCGACATGCGATATGCGAGGCTATTGGCCTGGGATACAATCAATGAAATACAGATGGCGGAATGATTATTCCGTGCGGCGAGGGAACTCACCGTGTCTGATGATCGAGCGTCTGATTATTCGCCACCCACTCCCTAGACTCGGTTTGATGCGTCCCGTTGTACTGACAAACGACATGACACGACCTGGCGACATGTTTGATCTCGCATGGTACTTCAATTGTCGCACTGATCGATGTTACGGGAAGGTGAGTCCATGTCTATTGGAAATTTTGGCCTTGTTGCAATTTGAGGTCAAGTTGACCTGGAAAGGGAGAGACTGGCTGCGCATGTGTGTGTACATGATTCACCCTCTTATTTCTCTGGATATCGAAATCGACAATTAGAATAGCAAAATTCTACTTGGTTCATCTCATTTATCTAAATATTGCCACTTCCTTGCTTACAATCCCTAGCCTAGACCGATAATCGAAGAAGACCCTGACTTTCAACTTGTATGTACATAGCTTCTGCCGGGCCAGTACTACAAGGCTTGATCTATCACACTTCTTTCGTACGCCCACAATCGATATGTAGACGACTTCTCCCATGCTGGCAGTTGAAGGTGACAACGTGATTGTTCATCCCTCATGTTTGCTCTACAATTATTTCTGGGCTATTGATCTGAACAACTAAGACAGTCTTATGGCAATGAGAACCGATGGCGCACCCAACGGCCATTCCACCACCAACCAAGCCGCCTTCCATACCACTGCTTTGTGTGCTCAATCACGACAGTACCAGACGATGAGGCCCAGACCAGTTCCAAAAACGTGATTCGGTACATCTTCAAAGCCCTCCCACTGATAATGGTACGACATCATGATACGTCTTTCCAGGTGGAATAATACCCATACAAGTAGGTGGAGGAGCGATATTTTCACTTGATTTGATAACAAGTACCTTCATAATCCAATCTACACCAGAATATCACCCAATCCTCCAGCCATGTAGAACCACACAGCTATTCCGACAAAGGCATCGGTCTAGGCCCATCCCACAGCCCAGTCTCCGGGTCAGGCTGGAGCTCAGGGCTAGGCTCCCACGGCGTCGGCTCAGGCGCCCAGAAATTACCATCCGTCGGCCACGGCTTGTCGCAGGGCGGCGTGTACCATGTGGGCTCAGGCTTGCACACGTCGTAGCACCTGTGTTTCCATTCACGCGTCAGAGAGACTGGCAAAAGAAAAGATGAGGGCGGGCGCTAGAATCAACTTACCCTCCGTACATCTGATGGCAGGGGTCGACGAAGTCCTTGCACAGCCAGATTCCCTGGCCTGGCTCTCTGTCGGAGCACATGGGGGGCGGGGTGAATGTTGAGCAGGGAGGTGTGGTAATGTTCCAGGGTTGGCAGTCTGGGATACAGCTGGGAAGAAGTTTAGTGGTGAGACACCTCGAGGGGGGGGGGGGGGGGGCTGGAGAAGAAAGACTTACGTTCCCCATCCTTCACCACACTCGTTGATGCCGTCGACGCAGACGGTCCGGGTACTGCAGTCGTCTGATGTAGGCGTGGGATCAGTGGTGGTCGTATCGAAGGGAGGCTTTGTGGGAGGGGTGGGAGCCGGAGGCAAGGTGGTTGAGGTCACTTGAGGCAGCGAAGTTGAGACGGCCGGCCCTACTGGTGAAGCCTCTGTGCAGATGGCATAGAGGAGAGCGAGGAAGAGGAGTTGTTTGGCCATGATGGGTGTCAATGGGTGGACGAGATCCGAAATTGTAGGAGAGGGACCGACTCTAGGGTCGATGCTATGATGGGAAATGTGAACTTAGACTATTCACTATCAATGAATCCTGGTTCTTGATGGTGGCGCATCGGAGAAGGTTTGAAGTAGGCTGAAGGGGCCCTTAAATAGAAACGAATGTTAATGCTTGTCAGTAACAAGATGTGCCTGGTATGACAGTCGCCGGGCGGCATTGGCCTGTCATGAAGGGAAGGTCTCACAACCCCGCAACGGGCTATGTAGTATGGGCTATGTGGATTTGCCTTGGCCAAAGGTTCCTCTTGTTTAAGGTAAGAGGCTTGTCGGAGCTGAAAGAGAGACACTGGCTAAGGAATGAGAGCGAGACATTTCGGTTTCTACTCCCGACACGAGGTCGATATAAGACTTGAAAAAGGGTTTTGTGTGGGATAACTGGACGAACGAGCGGTGTGTGACACTAGAGAAGGATGGATACTTGGCCGTTTTGCATTCCTGTGAGCCTGGGCATCACCCTCCAGGTGGAATGGAGGACATCGTGGGTGTCCTCCCTGCTTACGGAAGCTACAAACAGGGCGGAAGAGGACTCATTCAGATGATCTGCTGAGAACATTGCGAGGCATGATGCTAAGAAGCCCCCACTGTGAGTAGCTAATTGACATGGAGTCTCATGTAGCTGTCTTCAATGTATCATCACACGATTGGATTTTACTATTTCCAAGGTCGTTTCATGAAACTTAATACTATCAATGTTAGTAACTTTGGACTTGAATTTCGTTGGCATGTTACTATTTATAATGATTTTTGTCTTACCACCCGACCGTGTTCTGGTTTAATTTATAGTCCGAGACACCTGTCAAGATTTTTGAGCCTAAAATCTGCCAGACTGTAGACATGGGATGTTAGATGTTTGTATCGGTTGCTGGTTAGAGACTTAGTCGATGACCGAGAGAATTGCAAGTTCTATGTCGAGAGATGACTTGAAGCTTCACGATCTGATTAGCAATGAAGAATTTCGAAGTTCGATGAGGCTATTACAACCAAGCACCTGGAGATTGCTGATGTAACTAAGGTAGGTCCGAAAATAAAGCATGCAAATACAAATTCTCACTCGGCATATAATCAAGAGAGATTCAACAATCCCCCCGGGAGTTTCTAGTAGAGGGGCGTGTGCATCAGCCTAATAGTCATAGTTCAACATAGCGAGCGAGGGCGTATGCTGGACTCGTTGATTAAAAGTGTCTGTCAGTGACACTTATTGGACTACACACATTATCTGAAGAAGAGATAATTAAAGCAGACTGATAAAGGCGGCAGAAATCATTGGAAGGTGCGTCTTGAAAGGACGAGGTTCTTGCCTGAGGCCTTCCACTTCCTCACCTGCAACTCACTCACAAACTTGTTCTTCTTTCTCCTTCTTCTCTTCTCTCTTGTTCCCTTTGCTAAATTAGCATCATGCCTTTTCTTTGTTGATTCCAGTCTCACCTTTCACCTGCCGCATTCACATCACTCTATCTCCAACAGCCTTCCCCGACACTGACTATAATCCACTTCCTTCCATATAGGCACCCTCCGATCACGAAGTGCCGACCAGAATGGCGCCTCTTCTTTTGGACCTACCAGTGGAACTTCTGTACCAGATTTCCAGTCAACTCCCCAACAGCGCGATCAAAACCCTGCGCCTAACGTGCTTGTTTGCACACATGGTGTTCCGACTCCGATTCAACCGAGTATTCCTTTCACCACACCAACGCGATATTGATGTTTTCTGTCAAGTGGCCAGTAGCGAGACATTTAGACATCAAATTGTCCAGTTGGTTTGGGACCAGAACCGGTTTTGTCTAGGCAACATCGGAGATCGAGATTCATTCAACCCACTCTACCAATTTACCCCTTTCAACTCATCACACGAACTTGCAACAGAGATGGTTCGATTCCAGCGCAATCGAATTGCGAACACTGGTTGCTTGATATCAAACGATTTCAGCGCCCCTAGCGGAAATACTATGTTTGAATCTCGCATCGCCAAGATTAATAAATATGTTCAAATGCGTCGAGAGGCAAATGAGCTGAGCAATAGTGATGCTTTCGCATTAGAGTACTACATCACCCGCTTTCCTTCACTGAGGCAGATAATCATCAGCCATTCGACCAACGGTTGGCTCTTCCAGCCATTTTACGAAACACCTCTGATTAGAAGTTTCCCTTCCCGCTTTATCTACGATGTTGAGCGATCTGACTTCCCGTCACAACCTTTAACGCGTATTAGTGATCGGACTGATTGGAGTGAATACTCAAAGACTACTCGTGGTTATAGGACCATTTTCAAAGCACTCGCCGCCGCCAAGGAGCTACAGCTCGAGGATATAGTCATAGAGGCCCCCAGTGGGGTCAATTGCGGCCTCCCGTTTGATTTTTTCACGCTGGGAATGACATCGGATTATTTGAATTTTGTCGAGCTTCTCCGCCGCCAACACCTTCGCAGATTTGACCTTACCATCACGATCTGGACCTTGATACGAGACTATGAGAATCAGTCCCATCCGCCTGTAAGGCTGCTGAAAGACGCACTGAGGGAGGCTGCATCCCTGACACACTTCAGCTTCAAAGTAGATTGTGCTGATCCCAGACCTGATGTCGATTGGGTTCCTCTGAAAGCTTTGCTGCCTGTGGATCGCTGGCCAAACTTGCGGCACTTCGAACTTTCCTATTTTACAGTCAAACAAAACGACCTGGCTGATCTTCTTGGTGAACTGCCTCGAAGCATTCGATCTATTGAACTTGGTTTCCTAGTGTTTTTCGAGGAATCGGAGAGTCTCGCCGGGCTTCTTGACGAAATACTTAGAAGGGCATTTTGGGATGAAAGAGATGAAATGAACCGACCCCATCTAGGCATCTCCTTGCGTGTAAGCCGAAGGGCCTCAAGGAGCATCGCCATCAGGGTGGACGCTGAAATTGAAAGTTTCTTATATAAGCAAGGAATGAACCCATTCCGTGGTGCACGGGGACCTAATCATGTCGAGTTGGGAATAGGGACGGAGAGGGATACCTTCAATCCAGAATGCGAATGGCCTTGTGATCAAAATTTTGGTTGGAAAAAACAAATCAACATGGCCCAGAGGTGGGTGAAAACCATGTCCAAGAGGGAACAGTATCAGTTCGACCGCATTGGGAAGTTGGTGGAAAAGATAGAAGACGATGCGGATGACCTTGCGTATGACCTTGCGGATGAACTTCCGTGGGCCTTCTGATGAGCTTGCGAATGAGCTTTCGGATGAAGAATCTCAATGGCGAGGCCTGCCTACCTACCTAGGTAGTTTATAATATTCTTTCGGGGGGCCTGGCGATAAAACTACTAACCTAACTTACCTACTAACTACTGACTGGTAGTATGGGTATGTAACTGTCAAAGATGTACCTATATATCTACGTCGCAGAGCATTCAGCACTTGGTTGGGGTTGGAAAAATGAAGTTGAAGATGAAGCCAGGGCCAGAATTGGACGGTACCAATAGCAAGATTAGAACGGCGGACGCTAGATGAGAGTAATGACACCTTTGCACCCACGTTTTAATCAGAGAATTGACGCAATTTTTCGTTACTTCTTCTTTACTGGACATACTGGATATATCTGACTGTAGCTACTGATGTGGCTAATTCATAGCCGCAGGCCACCGTATTAACTGTATTAAGCCCCTGCCATGTAAACCATTATTTTCTGTGACAAGCCAGCCTTGATGACTGCTGGGCTTATCCGCTGGGAAGCCTGAAACGAATCTGGTGCTCTTTCGGTCCCTCAACACCACCAATCAATTGCTGGATGCACTGGGACAGGTATTTGATCCCAACAACCAGAGCTACTTGGTAAATGGGATTTAATACCCCGAATGTTTCGGCAACAGGTCCCATCCCTGCTCCTCAAGCGTTCATTTCTCCAAGCCACCCGCAAGAACCACTCCTCCCTACTCCCGAGAATGGCCCAGGTCATCTACGCGCCATCGGACGACACCCCACGCGGGGTCAAGTCGGTCTTCCTGGCCGGCACCACGAGCAAGGTCGACGAGGGCGACTGGCGCGAGACGCTCTCGGCCTCCCTCTCCGACGTGCCCGTGACCCTCTTCAACCCCTACCGCGCCGACTGGGACGGCTCGTGGCGGGAGGACGTCGACTTCGCGCCGTACCGCCGGCAGGTCGAGTGGGAGCTCGCGAGGCAGGACGAGGCGGACCTTGTGGTTGTGTACTTCCACCCGGCGACGCAGGCGCCCATCAGCCTGCTTGAGCTGGGGCTGTCGGCGCGCGTGCCGGGCAAGGTTATCGTCCTCTGTCCTGAGGGGTACTGGAAGAGGGGGAATGTGCTCATTGTGTGTGAGAAGTTTGGGATTGAGACGGTGGAGAGTGTGGAGGGGCTGAGGGAGGCGATCGTGAAGAGGGTTTCTGCTGCTTCGTGATTCATCGCTCTACTATCTCAATAATTGATTGATTTATTAGTTCTCAATGCTTGCTCAACGGATAGCCAATAGCACTGAGATCTTCAAGGCCTCGTCAGCTAGGCAGACAGAGTCATTCCCAGAGATGGACGTGAGCCTGACACCGCATCGTGTGGCCCAACGATCTCAGTGGCTCATCTCTTGGGTCGGCGAAGCTCGAAAGGATTACCCTTCAGGGAAGCTGTGGGTGTGATGATGCTATACACACCCTGGAGATATAATATCTTTAGCTTCGGGTGCGGTGCCCGCGGGCCAGATCGCAGCCCTACTAGAGGGGCTTGGCAGGTCGGCAGTGCATGAAGCCACGCAAGACCCATTTCATCCACCGCGTGTATATAGATGGTGTGTCCTAGAGGATCGTGGAATATTGTATTTATCTCTAAGATTGTCTAGTTTCAAAATAATTCATTCTATTAAGCGGTATTCAAATCAATCACAGTTGACGATAAATCAGCCTGTCATTCCAACTCAGAAACCGACATGGGCGCCCAGCCAGAAACTCATGCGTCTGCCGACCTCAAGAAAGAACAAGAACAAGAATTCCAACACACCACTCCTGCAAATGAAGATCAGGTGGCCCTTGACCTGGCGAGTCTACCAGCAGACAATCCGCCCCCATACAGCCCTCCATCGTATGAAGTCGCAGTCCAAGACCACTCTGGTTTCAATATCAGAGATGAGAAGAACCCATCAGGCCTCATCCGCAACTCATTCGACGAGACAGGAGAGCCGAGCTGGCGTATAGAGACCCCAGCCCTGCCTCGACGTCTCAGAGATGCCACCGACATCCTCTCCAAACCAATCGCCCTCCCCACCGTCAGATCTGCCCAGGGCTCACCCTACATCCGCGCCTACCCCCTCGAGCTCGCCAAGGTCGGCATCACGCGGGAGACCTTCCTCAGCTTCCTCGACCACGTCAACCGCGTCGTCGCCGACAACCCGCCCCTCGTCGCCGTCGGCCTCGTCGGCAGCGTCGTCGGCCTGGTCCCCGAGCCCACGGCCCAGCTGGCCGGCACGGTGATCGAGCTCGCGGCCGACACCGCCAACGTCGCGCTCGCCGAGGGCCGCACGGAGCTGGTCCTGCGGAGGGCCAACTGCGACATCTTCCACCCCGTGGGCTTGCAGGTCCGCGTCGCCAAGCTCGAGGCCGTGGCCAAGATCGCGGGGATGCCCTTCCTGGACGGCGAGACGGGGAAGCTGACGTCGGGCCTGCGGGTGCTGGCGCCGCTGGACGGCGAGATGGAGCTGCACACGCTGGGCGTGCAGCGGCGGAGGCTGCGGGACCTGGAGGAGTGGCTCTCGCCGCTGGATCTGGAGGAGCTGCCGGGGGTGGAGAGGCCGGGCTCTGTGATGGGGAAGATGCAGGTTAAGATGAGCGAGTTCCAGCGCAAGATGGAGGAGGATGAGCTGATGAAGATGCGCAAGAAGTCTCTGGGGAAGTACACGGAGGCGAAGCAAAGCGCGCAGGAGAGGTACGAGAGGAAGATGAGGGACTTGGACCGGAGGGTTGAGAAGGCAGGACAGAAGGTTGGAAAGGATGGGAAGAAGAAACAAAGGACAGATGAGGAGATGATACAAAAAGAGAAAGATAAAGATGGGGAAAAGAAGCAAAAAGATTCAAGCAAAGAAGAAGAGAATGATTTGAAACAGGAGGCTGGAGAGATCTCGAGAGGCAGCTCCAATAGCCAAGCCACTCTGGACAGATCAACGACGGAAGACAGCATCACAGAGAAGTGCGCAAGACGTGAAGAAAAGGAAAGAAAGAAGCAGGAGAAGAGGGTGGAGAAGGAAGAGAGACGGGCAGAAAAGGAAGAGAGGCGGACAGTAAAGGAAGAGAGACGGACAGAAAAAGAAGAGAAGAAGGCCGAGGAGAGGAAAAGGAAGGAGGTGGAGAGAGCGGAGAGGGAGAATCGAAGGCGAGAGGAGAAGGGGAAGGAAATAGAAAAGAAGGTCAAGAGGGCAGAGGAGAAGGTTGAAAGGGCGCTGACCAGGGCGGAAGAGAAGCGCGTGGCCATCAGGGAAGATTACGAGAAGGAACTCAAGAAGAGGAGTGAGGAGTACGAGAAGAAGGACAAGGAGGAGAGGTCAATTAAGAAGATCAACTGGTTGATCATCACGGAGCGGAACAGGATGGAGAGGAGCTTAATGACCGGACTGAGCCCAGGACGAGCAGATTCATAGAAGGCTGAGGACCTGAAGAGAGATGTATAGGTGTAATAGCTGCCACGCTTCCTTGCTTGCCGAAGAGTTCACGAATTTTCCTCTAGCTATAAAAGCAATTACCTACTGGCACCCCTTGAACCACTCATGTTGAAGTAGGTCCTTTGCCTCCGGCCTCTTCTGAGGGTCCCACTGCAGCATCTTCAAGATCAAATCCACAAAGACCTCCATGTCGCTCTCTGGCATATCATAAGGCTTCTGGATCCTTGCACGGTGCCAAATATCCCCCCACTGAAAACTCTCCTCGCCGAATGACCTGTCGTATATCGACTTCTCCTGTTCCGACAGGTCTAGAGGATTGCCAGCCTTGTCAATGTACGCATCGGCCTGTTTCCAATTCGCTCGCATCTCTGAGGGTATGGGACCCAGGCGCCGCGCAAGATCATGGAGCTGGCGAGATGGAGTGTATCCAGGCCCACCCCCGCTCAGCATCTGAATCAACTCATCCAGCATCACGACCTTCCAGCAAAAGAGGCCTGCTGAGAAGATGTCGGCCTTGTACGTGATTTCCAGGTCGAGCAGATCCTCGGGGGGACGATAAACATGCTCAGTAGCAATCGGGTGTTTGCCACACTGAGCAAAGGGGAAGGCGAAGCCCAAGTCACCCAGAACAACCCTGAATGGCTTGCTCAAGTCCAGTTGCTCTTGTAGAGCTGTCCTCCTGACGGTGTACTGGAGCTCGCCTGGCTCAGGGTCTTTGTCATCCTCTCGTATAAGCATTTCGATGTCATTGCGTGTACCAATGAGATTGGCCTTGTTCCATTCCTCAGAATGCGGCACTGCCAGCGGATCGCCTCGGCCAAATGTCTCCCATTTGGCATTGACAATTGCTTCAAATTCTACATATTTCTGGCGCCTCTGCTGGAAACCTTCTAGCCATTTTCTGTCTTCCTCCTCTTCTTGTTCTCGTCTGAGCCGTTCTTCGGGATCTGAGATGGTACTCTCGTCGCCACTCTCATCGTTGTCATCATCACCGTCGTCATCGTCATCGTCATCGTCATCGTCGTCCTGGTCATCATCGTCATTGTCGTCCTTTTCTTCGTTGCTCTCGTCATCCTCTTCCTCATTTTGCACGTCGTCGGTAGCCCAAACAGACTTTTGAATCTCATTCTCATGCATTGAAGAAAGGTCATATTGCAACGCGGTAAACACATTTGTAGGCCGAATATCGCGATGAGCGACCTGCCTGCTGTGCAGGAAGCTCAGTCCAGATAGGACCTGCCAACAGATCGTCTTAGCCGGTGCAGTCAACCAACCATCACCCTTCTGCGCTTTCATCTGCGCAGGTGGACACTCGTTGAGCTCCTCACGACGCTCATAGGCTTCATCCAGGACGGTACTGAGTGAACCGCCAAGAGGCTCCAGCACCTTGCAATAGTGCCTGCCATTAGGCCCAGTAACTGTGAATGAGCCTAGGGATGGGCTCTCTACGAATTTCACGCCCGGGTGAGGAGTTTGATCTTGCGTAATCCATTGATCAACTTTTTCTTGGTGCATGCCTGCATCTGCCTCAAAGATTTTGAGAGCGACATATTGTCGTTCTTGCTTACTGGAAGAATGGGATTGAGTCAGTGAAAATAGATGAAGAAAGCTAGTCGGGCAGATCTACCTGCTATCTCTGGCTAGCCAGACGGTAGACTGAGACCCAGAACCCAACTTGCGGAAGATGTGGTAGCGACCATCGAGAACATCACCGAGGTGTACTGGGTGAAAACCACCAGGTCGGTAATTTCTAGTACCCTCCTGTTGAACGAATATCAGTCAAATGCATATTCTTTGGTGAGGGTTTTCTACCTACGCCCATGTACCGACGGTTTCTATAGATGGATGGAGACGACATTTTGGGAGCTGTCTTGCGATGGATTTTGGGAACAAGAGGAAGAGGGGGAAATGGCGAGGGGCAAAGCGTAGCTCTTTTATGGGAACCAATTACGAGAGACGCGTACTGGCGAGCCACCAAAATAGCGCAAATCTGCAGCGTCAAGCATAAGCCTAACCTGACTACTGCAGTATGATACACTGAAGCAAGCTGGCTTTACAGAACGCGATATAATGCAACCAAGATTGGAAAACTAAGTAATTACTGTACCGTTCAGTGTTAGTAAAGATCTGATGTGTTTCCATTACCTGTACGCAAGAATTGACGTCAGCCCTGCTTATCCCCAAACCACATGTGACTACCTAGATTTTCCTCTACAAGACGGAGCCCCTGTGATCCATCCTTCTGGCCGTATGCAGCTGTTGCGGCTGTCTTGAACGTAATCATCCAATAGAATGGTAAGAAAGGAAATCGGAGTGTAGCCAGCCTTATTTCGGGGCCGGAACAGCACGGTGAAGTAAGTGGCCGAAGTGGGCGAGTTCTCAGGAACCGCGATTCAGCTTACTAAATTTATCATCCAAGCTTACTACCGAGATCGGTAGCGGCACCAAAGATAACCAAAGATCTTCCTCCTCCTCCACATGCATAAATCCGGTCAGCCCTGCCACCTCGATTTGGATTTCACCGGGCAGGGTTCCTGACCGTCGTCAAATACTTGGAGTTACCATATCTAACCCAACTGGTAGAAATCGTGGCAACGCTAAGGCAGCGCTTTCCTAGAAAGGTAGGTACATAGTTTAGCTAGCAGCACACACCTAAAATGAAGTACTATCCTTGCTCGTTGCTCACGTGTCAAGGATAAACACTATAGCGCTCGATCATAGAGCCACCATGGCTACTGTAATTAAACAATTTATGACCTTAATTATAGGTTTATCAAGGCATTATGAACTACTGGTCAGTCGTGGCCTATTCGGACCAGTCAGTTATTTGATAAATGCGAAGACCTCATCGTACCATACTAATAAACGAAGATACACATTGCACCACATAAATGATATATTTAGATGTGTCTTTGTCTAGCGTGACACTAGTGTGAAATCAGGTTAAACACGGTGACTCCAAGCATTTGACGATGGTGTCAGGAACGTTGCCCGATTTCAGCTGGACAAGACGGTACTTTGAAGCCCCATATTCCTAGAAAGAGATTTGCGACTTACGAGTGAAAATATACCCAAATTAGGATTGACGAGAGACCAAAATTTGTACTCTAGTGAGATGCTAGATACGTAGATGCAATACAGGATACCTATTTTTAATACTCGATTAACTGTATAAAAACCTGCTTCATTCTTCACAATGTCCAGACTTGCTTTCCACAACCGACATCAACATCCTTTTTCTTTTCCTTTTTTCCTTTTGCTTCCCCTTTTCCTTTTTCGTGAATCCTGTTTCTCTCTGTCAACTGGAACGTTTATATTCGTTGTCTTTGTGCTTCGTCTCATTATGCGATTTGGTGGCATTACTTCTCTGGCTTTGGCGCTGGCCGCCTCTGCCACTGGCCTCCAGATAGAAGACCTCTCTGCGATCGCGCCTCGTGGCTCACATGGCGACGGCGCTAGTATCAATGTCTTTGCCCGTCTACTGACCTCCACACCCGGCCTCTTTCACGCTCGCGACAATGTCTCCATTGCACAGGGTCTAGAGCGGAGAGGCAAATCGGGAAAGGGAGGCAAAGGTGACAAGGGCAGAGGAGGCAAGGGCAAGGACAGCAAGGAAGAACATCTTGGCCGACCAGGCCTCAACATTTACGACGACCAGATCAAGAAAGGCGGCCACGTCTCAGCCCAAGACAAGGCTCGCATAAAAGAGCTAGGCCTGGACGCTATGGAAGCTGCCGATGTCACCCATGGCAGCGTCGTCAACCGAGTCCATAGCTCCGAGAACACCAACAGCAAGGATCCGACTAGTCACTTCACCATCCAGCCTCATGCAGGTCCGGGTGCCAGCAATGGCAGGATTCATGTCGACGAAAAGACTGGCGAATGGACTCAGGGAGATAAGGGAGCGAAGAACTCGAGCAAAAAGGTGGCAGAAAAGAAAGCACAAGGAGGTTACGATTCGGAAAATGATTTGCCACCGCAACGAAACATGGACATGCCTCCTTCGGACAGCGAAAGCGATTGTGAAGGTCCCTTGAGCAAGCGCGGAGCATCGTGCTCAATCAGACCTAAGGGTGCTGCCAAGGGCAAAGTTGATGCCAAGAGCAAAGGTGCTTCTAAGAGCAAAGGCGCTTCTAAGAGCAAAGGCGTCAAGGCTCAAAAGAAGACTGGCAACAAGACTCCTGCTAAGGGCAAGGGTGCTGCCAAGGGCAAAGGTGCTTCTAAGAGCAAGGCTCAAAAGAAGTCTAGCAACAAGACTCCTGCTAAGGGCAAGGGTGCTGCCAAGGGCAAAGGCGCTTCCAAGAGCAAAGGCGTGAAGGCTCAAAAGAAGACTGGCAACAAGACTCCTGCTAAGGGTAAGGGTGCTGCCAAGGGCAAAGGTGCTTCTAAGAGCAAGGCTCAAAAGAAGACTGGCAACAAGACTCCTGCTAAGGGCAAGGGTGCTGCCAAGGGCAAAGGCGCTTCCAAGAGCAAAGGCGTGAAGGCTCAAAAGAAGGCTGGTACCAAGACTGCTGCTAAGGGAAAAGGTACCAGCAAGGGCAAAGCAGCTCAGAAGAAGGCTGGTACCAAGGCTCCTGCTAAGGGTAAAGGTGCCTCCAAGGGCAAGGTAGCTCAGAAGAAGGCTGGCACCAAGACTCCTTCAAAGGGCAAGGCTCAGAAGAAGGCTGGCACCAAGACTCCTTCAAAGGGCAAGGCTCAGAAGAAGGCTGGCACCAAGACTCCTTCAAAGGGCAAGGCTCAGAAGAAGGCTGGTACCAAGACTCCTGCTAAGGGCAAGGCAGCTCAGAAGAAGGCTGTTAGCAAGGCTCCTGCTAAGGGCAAGGTAGCTCAGAAGAAGGCTGTTAGCAAGGCTCCTGCTAAGGGTAAAGGTGCTGCCAAGGGCAAGCCTCAGAAGAAAGCTGCTACTAAGACCCCTGCCAAGGGTAAGCCTACTGCCAAAGGAAAGAAGCCTGCTGCTAAGCCTGCTGCGAAGGCAAAGGCCTCTGCAAAGAAGCCTGCCGCGAAGGCAAAGGCCTCTCCAAAGAAGCCTGCTGCTAAGCCTGCCGCGAAGGCAAAGGCCTCTCCAAAGAAGCCTGCTGCTAAGCCTGCCGCGAAGGCAAAGGCCACTCCAAAGAAGCCTGCTGCTAAGCCTGCTGCGAAGGCAAAGGCCTCTGCAAAGAAGCCTGCCGCGAAGGCAAAGGCCTCTCCAAAGAAGCCTGCTGCTAAGCCTGCCGCGAAGGCAAAGGCCACTCCAAAGAAGCCTGCTGCTAAGCCTGCTGCTGCTTCTAAAGCTAAAAAGACTAAATAAGCATATGTAGTATTAGTTTACATTGACTGTAATTTATTATTCAAGGAAACCGTTATTCTCTACTGGTCTTAGACCCAATTGGTGACACTTAAATGTATGGTGTCTTAGCATGTAATCTTCATAAAAGGTAAATAATTTCAACAGGTCCTTTGCTTGTACTAACATATCGTTGATCGCCTCTCTTGGTCTGCAACTCCTAGAAATAGCTCGGCATCTTCGACAGAAATGGCGGCAAAACATGCAGATTGTGCGGTTTCAACCGACATTAGAGCAAACGGTCTTCTGCACCAACCTTTTTGCATTTGAATCGCTAGCTTCTGCGACCAGGATACCTCTGTCTAAAGTAGACAATCTCGGAGCTTGTTTCATTGATCAGGGCTCCAGCTGAGGCCAAGGGCGCTTAGGTTGTCTTCAATGGTTTGGTTAAGAGCTCGTAGCAAGCGCGCGGGTGGTGTTGCCGTTCTTCTCGAAGTTGGGATCAAATTCGATTGTTCGGGCCAAGAGAGCCACTGCCTAAGACATCATACATGGTTTTGCACTCGAGACTCGTCCGCCTGGCGCTGCAGGACTCAGCTCGCGTCTGGACTAGATGAACCTCAAGTCAAGACCTTCTTGAAGTGGAACAGCCTACCCGGTAGGTACTCGGAAGCCCGGACAAAAATTCTCCGGACGATGATGCCAAGACCTGGACCCTGATTACATAACCACTGCAAATGACGTTCCGCCTTAAGCCGCGCCCGAATTTGTGGCTTTCGGTGAGGCGTTGCTTTTTAATTGAATTGTTGGGAGACTTGCCCATCAGGAACATTTTAGCAAGCAATCCCACCAATTAAGCATTATCCTGCGCTAGGACAGCTCCTACGTCAGGCGTTTGGAAAAAACTAACAATCACCTCCACTCTCCTCTTATCCTTTTCCTTTGTTTTCTGCTAGTTCCCGGTTCCGGAAGCCTCCGCTCCTCGTTTGCTCGGACCACCACATCCAAACCATCTTTTCTTCGTTGCTTCCCGCTCCTCCCCTCGTTTGGCCATGTCGGCTCGCCTGTAGCAATCCTGTTTGGGTATTAATACTGAGACGAACCGCGAGTGCGAGTAGACGAACTGCGCCACGACCTTTTCCTTATCTGTCGCCGTCGCCCTACTCCTAGACTCCCTCCCTGGTGGCGAAGACCGTCTCGAAATCAGTACACTCCGCCGAGCAAACAACCGCTCAATCAACTCGCCCGCCTACCAATCGATTATGGCCCTGGCCTCTCCGGCTTGCAGCCGGACTGCCGCACAATGTACGCCCCGAATACCACCTCTCCTTGCCCTGGATCGAGTGACCCCTGCTGACCCTTGCGCCCAGTGCGATCGCAACTGCTCTCCAGGATACCGACCACAAAGACTCTGGCCACGTCTTCGCGGACGCTACACGACCGTTCCCTCACACGATTGTATTCGACGACGCCCCTCCGAGCAAGCGCACCGAATATGTTTTCCTACCACGTCGCCGCATCCTTCATTGCCAAGGATCACCCGTTCCACCCCACCACGCACGTCTACCACTTTGACCCCATGGTGAAGAGAGAGATCAACCCGTCTCGATCGAGAGCCGCCAACCGAGCAGGCCGCCCAGAATCAGGCCACGATGCCTTCTTCGTAAGCCAAGTAAACGGTACCGGCTCCGTCGCTTTCGGGGTGGCCGACGGCGTGGGCGGCTGGGTAGATTCCGGCGTCGATCCCGCCGACTTCTCCCACGGGTTATGCAACTACATGGCCGAAGCAGCCCAGACACACGAGGACGACGAGTCAGGCCGCCAGCTGACGGCGCGCAATCTTCTGCAGACTGGGTACGACGCAGTATGTCGAGATACATCGGTCCGCGCTGGTGGTAGCACGGCCTGTGTCGCCGTCGCGCGTCCCGATGGCACAGTCGACATTGCCAACCTGGGCGACTCGGGGTTCATCCACCTGCGGCTCAACGCTGTGCATGGAGTCTCGGAGCCCCAGACGCACGCCTTCAACACCCCCTTCCAGCTCAGCCTGATCCCGCCTCGCATGGCTGAGCGCATGTCGACCTACGGTGGCATGCAGCTCTGCGACCTGCCCCGGGACGCCGACGTTTCCGAGCACGACCTCCGCCATGGCGATATCCTCTTGTTTGCGACGGACGGGGTGCTGGACAACCTCTTCAACCAGGATATCCTCCGTGTGGCATCCCGCGTCATGGTGGGCGCCGGTGCGTGGGAGATGACGGAGAATAAGGGTGTCCGCGTCAGCGACAAGCTGTTTGATCTGTGCGACCTACAGAGCGCCGGGGGCGATGGGACCAACCTTGTCTCGCTGCAGAGCGTGCTGGTCACACAGTTGGTCGCGGCCGCGAAGCGGGCAAGCATCAACACCCGCCTGGACGGGCCCTTCGCGAAGGAGGTGCAGCGATACTACCCCGGCGAGAATTGGCGAGGCGGCAAGGTAGATGACATCTGTGTCGTTGCGGCTGTGGTATGCCAGGACGACATCAAGCCAGAGAAGAGCAAATTATAGTTCTTGTCTGGAGATACTGACGGGAAAGGGGGATTATAATTACGAGCTGAGCTTCTTCTTGCTTGCTTTCTAATACGCTATAGACAGGGTACGCCGGGAGAAGAGGGGGAAACAAGGTGTTCATTTTCTGGTATCTTACTACTATTTTCTTTGCTTCTCTTGATAGACTAACCCATAGAGACGGAGAACGCAAGTGGCCACATAGGCGGAAGGATTCATCAGGCTTGCCATTTTCACTGCAGAGGGACATTGGAAGGGGGGCATGATCGGTCATACGAATCACACAGAAGTGAATGCTTTGTTATTTTTATACTAGCAGCACGTCATCAGCATAGCACTACATGGGACGAGCCACTGGGAACGCAAACAGGCGTGACGAAAGAGAGGGAGGTGCCGCGAGCACGACTGTGACTGTGTGCAACGGCATCAGTTGCTGGAGCGAAGATATAAATCTAGGTCCGTAGTCCTCGATAAATAAGGATAACCAGTCACCTACAACAGACATACAATCTAAATAAGAAAAAAACATCAAAGCTGAAAACAAGCCCCGGAGTATACTCTTTTACTATGCCTACTCACTCCCACGACGATGTGTCCCGCGTCATGCACCAATGTGTCAACGACGAGATCGATCCCATCGCCGCGGCCAACAAGATCAAGGGCTTCGTCGTGCGAAGTCCCTCAGAGTATGAGTTTTCCGCCTTTGACAAAATATGGTCCGAGGCCATCGCCATGGCCAAATCGTGGGAGATAATGGACGAGCGCCACGGACGGCTCGCCAACCTCTTCGCCGAGCTCAACAGGCTTCGTGACTCTGTGAGTAATTCGTCGGTTCCTACCATTCTATGATTGGGTCATTTTGAAAGCAACCTGCTGATGCTGAGTACAGCGTCTCCCCTGGGAAGACTTCGAGAACCGCTGTCCAGACGACGACGGCATATTCAGAGACGGTACCATCCCCTCTACTCCCCTCTACCGCCCATGATCATTAATACTAACCATCCCCCCCCAAAGCCCGTTTCACTATGGGCGTCTCAATGGGCTTCCCCCCCGAAAACGAAGTCCTCTCCCTCTGCGGCTTCCTCGCCCGCCTCGTCACCGCCGGCGTCGCAACCGACGGGCTCTCCCACCTCGCCCTCCCCTGCATCGACCTCGTCGAGCCGGGCATGGAACAGTACCGCGACGACACCGCCTACGCGCCGCGGAAGATGAGCGCCCTCGTCAGCCCGGAGCGGTTCCAGGTCGCCGACTTCTGGCTGCACGCGTGCGGGAAGCAGATCTACGCCTCGGGGCAGGCCGTGCTCGACAACGAGTCGGGCAAGGACGTCTGCGAGGCGTTCCAGTTCCCGCAGGCGCCGACGGGGAGCACGCTGCCGATGCCGCTGCGGTGCCAGTTCCGGCACACCAAGGCGCAGCTGACCCGGTCGTGGAGGGCGTGGGAGTTTTTGTTCAGGTCGTATGCGGGGCGGGCGCGGGCGGCGGCGGGCGAGGCGGAGGAGAGGATGCTGGGGCTGGCGAGGGGGATGCTGGAGTACATGGAGATGGTCGAGTCGGAGTATGAGAGGGCGGTGCATGGGGATCTGGCGGCCATGGAGGCGATGAGCTCCTTTGCGGGGGTTTGATGGGTTGGCTACATGATGCTACCTAGTCCTGGAGTTAAACTAGGAACTGCAGGAATAGGTAGGAAGTGGTTGCTGGGTATTGGATGGTTGGGATGGCTTGAAGTCAGCATTGTGTGTCTGTGTCCTGATATTGTTGGAGGGTGGTGTTGATACTCCAATCATGCCCATGGCTGATGGTCATTTGTTTTCAGGGCAGTCGAACATTTTCTACCAATTGATTTTCCTCTACATCCTTTCACAGATCTCGATTGGACACAATTGAAGGGTAGAAACTTAGAGTTGGGCATGGCCTGAGATCGTCGTCATGATGTCATCCATCTACAACTTGTCCAACATGCGATTTCCAGCGACCAAGAATTATTGCACTTTTTTGTCACCCCCGATCTCTCTGGGGCCTGTTTTGTATTTTCTACGTAGAAAAGAAAATCCCTTGTTCTTAATACCATGACAGATATCTACGCGGTCGGTTACTTTTGTTCCACTACGGCCGCCCGCCAGACACTCCCTGCTGACCCTCGTACAGGCTGGTGCTGTCGCAGCCTTCACAATCGATGTCCTTGTCTATCCCCTTGATACCATCAAGACTCGATACCAGAGCCAAGACTACATCAAGCACGATGCTACACACCCTCTGAGGAAGCCATTGGCCCTCCGAGGCCTATACCAGGGCATCGGCAGCGTCGTTCTCGCAACCGTGCCAGCAGGTGAGCTCACCCAGCGTCAAACTGATACAATGCAGCTAAACACAATTCAATCCCGCAGCTGGACTCTTCTTCTCGACATACGAGAACACCAAGACCCTCTTCTCCCAGGCCATGCCCTCCGCCCCGACGCCGCTCATCCACGCCGCCGCCTCAGCCACCGCCGAGATGGCCGCGTGCCTCGTCATCGCCCCGGCAGAAGTCATCAAACAGAACGCCCAGATGCTCAATGCGTCAAACAAGCCCTCCTCGTCCTCCTCGCCCTCCTCGACGTCAATACAAGCATTCCGCATGCTCGGCACCGGGCGAGGGTCCGCGACGAGGCTGTTCACGGGCTACACTGCCCTCGTGGCGCGGAACCTGCCCTTCACGGCGCTCCAGTTCCCCATGTTCGAGCACCTGCGCGCCCGGCTGTGGGAGTCAAGGGGTGGAGACGAGCCATCGAGAGAGCAGCAGCTGCTGGAGACGGGGGTGATCAGTGGAGCGAGTGCGGGGAGCGCAGGGGCGTTGGCCGCGTATATCACGACGCCGAGCGACGTGGTCAAGACGAGGATGATGCTCTCCGCGGGCGAGAGACGGGGGGACGACGGAGCACACGGTTCACAGGGGAAGAAGGCTAAGCTAAGCGCGTGGACGGTGACGCAGCTCGTTTACAGGGAGAGGGGGATCCGCGGGTTCTTTCGTGGAGGGCTATTCCGGGCGGGATGGACTGCGCTGGGGAGCGGGCTCTATCTGGGGACGTACGACGTGGCCAAGCTGTGGTTGAACCGGAGGAGGGCCAACAAGAGCGACAGTGCAGGATTGTGATCTCTCTCTCTCTCTCTCTCTCTCGGCCCCGGATTCGGGGAATTCAAGTCGTGCTAATTAGGATTCGACCAGGGTGATGGCATCATCCCGAACTCGGCAAGACTCAGACGAATGCTGAGAGATGACTGGTGGCCGGGTCAATCTTGCATGCTTAGCAGAAAAACGGTGAGATTTAGCACATGGTTCCTTTTCTACTGTAGATCATGCGATAATGGCTGCCTTGTTGCATCCTCGGCTTGATGTCTTATCTCTGGTCACGGATAGATGCGCAGCATGACCTGGCCCAACAAGCCAATCAAGGTGCATCTTAAATGCACATGGCCTTCAATTATGTATATATGGCAGGTGTGTGAATGGACAGCGTCTGATCACAAGGGGGGTTGGGTGAGTTGGACGTCGACATGGGAGGCATATGCGAGATAGCACCGTGTGATGGAATTCCTTTCGACGGATTGCAGAGCCAAGGAATGTAAGCCACGGTTGGCGGATAGACAGCAGCATGAAACGCCTGATAAGCACGCCATCGGAGTTTTTCAAACGTCAATGAGCAAATCCCCGGTGCTCAGAGTTTTCCGTCTAGTATTAGGGTTTGTCTGCCCCTTTCTCGCCCGAGCCGGGATTGTGCTTGAGTCAGCACGTGCAGAGAATGAATTGTCCCCAGAGACTTCACAAGAAGCCGTTATCAGTCAATGTAACTAGTGCCCGACTTGGGTATTCGACAGGGGGACTCGTATATTAGAAATGAGACCCTGCTCACCGCTGCCAGCGACTATCAGCTCCTCAGGCCCATGATGATGCTCATCGACTGCGGTTGCGCAACCGCGGCAGCCAACGACCTCATTGCACTAATTGAGCAATCACTAGTTTCCGATTGGCTCCTCGTTGCGTGCTAGATCTGTCTTTCCCCTTAGCTCTGCGCTTGAGGCTGGGCTAGCCCCTTGCCCTTGCCCCTTCCCGTGCCTCGACCGTCTGCCTCTGCCTGACAAAGACGACGGGGGGAAATGCGTGCTCAGCTGCCACTTCCGACGACCATTGTCCAAGGGCGAAGTGGGGAGGACCCTGAGAGACCAAGCACCATGCGTGCGAATGACGAATCTTCCCCTCGTGCCCGGCTACCGGCGGGCTGGCAGTCGTCTGTTAAAAAGGATTGGAAAATCCTCTCCCGAGATCCCCTCCGGTTGCCCAGTATACCGTCCTGACTCGTAGCTATCCACCCACGCCCGGCTAACTGAACGCCTCCTCGGTCTCGAATACCCTTCTACGGGAAGTTTTTTTCTTCGCGTCTTTGTGCCGAATAGAACTTTCGCCTAGACCACACGCCAAACCAGCAGACTCTTCCCGCAGGCTCAACTGATCAAGGTGCCTCACGCTACTACGCCATTCAGCAGCCTGTGTAAACAACTTCACAGAAGAGGAAGCCGAGATCAAAATGTCTGTCGAGGTCGCCAAGTCAGCGCCCGTGGACTTCACCCTCGCCAGCGAGAAGGAGCCCCAGATTGAGATCGAGCTCATCCCCGGCACACCTCCCCGGGAAGGCCGCTACCTCGTGCAGTCACCCTACGAGGAGTTCGACCATCTTCTGGACCTCGACACCCTCGACAACGAGAACGCGCTGCTCGCCAGAGCGTTGGCGAAGCTGCGAAATGTCCGGGAGGACTATGCGACGGCCCCCTATGTGGAGTCATTCAACTGGCCCGAGGTGATCGAGGAGCTGAGAATCCTCGCCAGGGAATCCGGGAGTGGGTTCAAGAAGGCGAGCTTCTACGTCGTTGCGTTCCGGTCTCGGATCAAGCCGGACACGCATTATGGAGATCTGGGCGAGCTGGATAAGGCCGCCCATGCTGAGGCGGTTGCAAGCGGAGGTTTTCTCAAGTAAGTTCCCTCAAGTCCCTCGAGAATGGATAAATTAGAAGCTTGTCTGACTTTTCCCGCGGTGTAGATATTGGTTCGGCAGCCCAGACTCGCAGTTGGCAAACCTGGCCACGTGCCTCTGGCGAAGTCGGGAGGATGCCATTGCCGGGGGCCGGGGGCCTGCGCATAGAAAAGCTGCCATGTCGACGAGATCGCTGTACGCTTACTGGAAGATTGATCAGCATCGACTGACCATTTCCGATAATGTTGATGAGTGGGAGATCACGGAGTGGGAGTAGACTGACTCTCTATTTGGAGAGAAATTGTTGCAAGCATGAACTGGAGAACTATACAAACTAGGCTCACCGGCTTTTAGTATTATGAGGAAACGAATTGGTTGGGGGGGAATGGTGGTGGGTGTGATAAAGTCAAAAGCTTCAAGAAGCACATGAAGTCGAGGGCGTTTTGTTGTTTTGCGCTCCGCATGGGTTGCATCGTTTGATTAGATTTATCATATATTAGCAAGTAGAATGGCGCTGGTACTGTTTACATAAAAAAAGAAGAAAGAGAATTTCATTATCAACAAAGTTAGCTATGGCTCGAATATCACTCGTCTCCTTAGCATGCTGTTATTTCTCGATGCTTAGGTTGACAGTCGTTTAGCTGAGTATCTTGGCTGAACCGACTTGACTGCACTGACAGGGTGAATAAATGATCTAAAATGTGTGATAGGAAACACATACTCTGACATCCCGCCTGATCTGCGAATTAACATTATCGCTCTGAGGATAATTCATGACTGGGATGCAGCTCGAAACCTAGGAGGCCGACTAGAGCTTTAGGCTCACAGTCTCAGATATCTAGGTTTGGAAACCCATCAACTAATAATATTCGACGAAGACAAAGGCTCGAGTTGACGATGTTGACTTAAACCCCTCCGAAATCAACATAACAATGAAGTGAAAGAAGTTTCTCTTACAGGAAAGTTAATATAACATTATGCTTTGATCATTATCTATTTCATATCTTTTCAAGCAAAGATGGTCAGATTACTGTATTAACTTACAGTTATCTTACAAGTTTCACTATCCTCTTCCACCATTTAAACTGCAGGTCAGCACTAGATACGCTATGAATTACTCGCTCCAAATTCTACTTCCAGGCTTGAGACTGACCGATCATTGTATAATTTGACCTAATACTTTTAACTAGACTATGTCGTGCTTCTTGTTAATATAGTCTTATGGAATGGCCAACTTCTGTGTCAGATTAATAAGTTCTCCAACGCCACTTATCATGCTGCAAAATCTGGACTGACATAGAATTGGCCCGCGAGGCCTAGGGGTAAATGTGAATTGCTGCGTAACTTTCTATGCCTGGAATTCCGCTACTTGAATGTGAAGCGTGTCACTCTCGAATCACGCCGTGGGCAAACCTTTTGGGCTCTTACCTTTTCCTCCAGTCTATTTCCCCCTTCTTCTTTTTAAACCCTGCGCTAGGATTAACATAAGACTGCGGACATATTCCTTTGACTTATGAGATGGCTAATCACGTGCTATAGACAAACGCTTGAAATATGTACCTAAACGAACTTCAGTCGCTGCGCCACAAACTTGGAGGGACTTTGAGCGGCAGCCTGGAAACCTACGAACCAGATGCTCACCAACATTAGAAAAATATCTTTTTGGTTTCTGTCTGAGATAATCCTTTGGGAGAATGGCAAGTGTCAGGTAAGCATATTATAACCAGGCCGTGGCTAGACATAAGTAATAAATCAGGTAGGTAGTGATGAACGGTATACGTTGGCCGCCTTCGTGTTGAGAAGGGACTTTTGTAAGGCTTCGCCCCTATGTTACGCCTGACCAGATTTTATTATTAGAAGATACTCCCGTATAAAATGAGCCAAGGCAGGCGCGAAATTCTGGCTTCAGTCTGCTAATTCCACAACCCACTTGGGTAGACCGGTGTCTTTCCGTCATCATATATGGAGTGGAAATACATACCCCAGACCCTCCTGGGGGTTATTTATTTTATTGTGTTTCTTCTTTCGCTCAATGTTGCTTTCGGCATTGCGGTCATCACGCATCGCGCCTTGGGGTGTAAGCTGGGTGGGATTCTCAGACGTTTATGGTGGATGAGGTGCTCAGCCGTGGTCATTTTCACGTACGAGATTTCCCAGGTCAAGATTTCACATGAAAGCTCATATTTACTTGCAGGTGGCATGTGGCCTTCCTTGCTGGCGTCTTTTTAGACGTTTACAGCCCCAAGTACTGGGGTTTTCACACCATTGGGCAACAGGAAGAAAGAATCTCGAATATATTGTGGGCGGGTAAAGTATGTTATCGCCAGATGATCATAGGTGATATATGCTTTTGCGTGTTGTGTCTTTCTTATCTACGGACAAGATACCTTAGAGCCGCAATGTTGCGCCTTCTTCCGGCCACCATTGCCTTTCTTCTCAGGGGTTGGGCCGACAAGTCAGAAATACTAGATTTGTCACCGCGTGATATAATCTGGGGATCGGGTTTTATCATGATACAACTGTTTCTCGCTATACACCTCTGGAAACAATGTCCCAAGGTTGATGGGGTAAGTTGAAATCTTCAATGCCTTGCCCAGTCCCTTTGTTATCAAGTCCTTCAATTCTGAGACCCATTTTAGGACGTTATTGCATCAGCCATCAGCTACATACTTTACACTGGGTGTAGGGCATGCGAGACAATGCGGAAGGTTGTATCTCCGCCTGTAATTTGTACGATAGAGCCCAACTTCGAAGACGGAATGATGGGACCCGCTGGAAGCCGTCATTTGGCTGGAAGCTGTTCAGTATCAGTCACTTGTGGCAAGGGCAGTCACCTATATGAAACGTGTTCTGCGGCACCGCCTTGTCATCATTCATATCGCCTCGAATGTAATTTCACCATTCTCAGACCCGGATGGTGGTCCCAAGTTTACATTTTGCTTCTTGCTGGTGGGATTTTTCTGGCCTCTCTCTACATCACCTATCGCTCGGTCTCTAGCTTTCGGGATGAAAGCCTCATGAACAATCTTAGCGATAAGCTGGATGAAGAAAATGCCCCGGAAGACGTGGATACTGTTGAGAAACATTGAAAGGGCTGTGAGGTGATGTAGAAGTTTTGATAGCATTATTGACTAGTCCGGGGGATGGAAATCTTCGGATGTATAGTAGGATTATCTATTATTACATTTGTGGGATTAGGTAAAGGGATCTTTGAAGAGTGTTATGGATAGAGACTAAGAATGAGAGTTTCAGTGTGTAAATTGCATAAAAGCGTTCTACTATTTTCAATACGTATAGTACACTTCTAGATATCAACTTCACTTCTGATGTAGTTCTAGTACCTAGTGTTATAAATATATAATAGTATAGGGCAAGTTAAGATTCCACTTGCTCTATTATACCATACACCTAACTCTCAGTCTTAGCTGTAAGTAGAGATCCTTGGTTATAGCCTTATGATATACTCTTCTTCCTAAATCGACTTAATTCACTTTCACTCTCGTTATCTCTCAAAATCTCGCCTAAAAGACCTATAAATAGTGCTTGAAAGGTACCTGATCGAGTGCTTTGGTGTGACCACTTGGCCTGCTGATGAATGTTAATGTCCCAAGAGAGCAGAGCATGATAAGCTTACTCAAGGCGGGTCATCAGCGGGCAGGGATATAGCAGGGAGATGTCTGACCGTCATCTCGGCAATGAAACGAGTTGGCTTGACCGAGCCTGCTGCTGTGGTCACTATTCTAACATTAGACATTGTGCGTGGGGAGTAGGAATGCCGAAGCAATGCGAATGCGAAGCAATTTACTATTGGGCATTGCCGCTCGATTGCCGTTTGCCCGCTTAACTTGGATTTCAAACCCTGCATTTCACCACCTTACTTGTAAATAATCAGGCATATTGTTTTTTTCTCATACATACTTATGGCATTAGATTGATTGAAAATGAATAGAGTTATCACCCTGATATCTTTTATTAAAATGGGTTTAGGTATTTTTAAAGTAGGTATTTTTAAATAGATTATTCCATGTCAAAATGTCTGATGTATGGAATCTGTTCCCCTGTACCACAGCACTGCTACGTCGTACCCCCATGGCTTTCATGAAATCCTTCGGAAGGTATAACTGAAGCGAAATAGTGGAATGTTGTATGTGATGATGAGATTTAGCTGATCAAGGGGCTAGACAGAAAAGTACTCTGTGAAACGGCATATATTTTGGGCAGTTGGCACTGGGTGTACCCTAGTAAGTTTCGATTCATTCTGTATTTGGTATCTATTACCGTCAGTATCAACCCCGCTTAGTCACCTAGATATACCATGAATGCGTTTGAGGAATAGAAGTATAAGAAGATTGGCATCTTCTGGTATTACCTTTGCCTCCGATCTATCCATCAGTTCAAATCATCACCTTCCAGTTTTCTTTCCATTTTTCATTATTTCCTTATTGTACAAGTCTTCACTCCTGTACTCTTCTATCATTATCTTTTTTATTCTTCAAGTGACCAAGCAGGCTTTGATCACTCATCATCTTTTCCCAAGTCTTTAGGCAACAATCCAAAAATGGCTGGAATCAAGCAAGTTCTCCTCGGGGCAACTCTCCTGATCAGCCTCGCTCAGCAAGTCACCTGTACTCCTGATGCCCAGGACCTATCTATCAGGTCTGATGAGGCTCAGGGTCTAGATGTTCGGAAGGTTGGGGGCCCTGGGTCGATCAGGAGAGACAGACCTCCTGTTCGCCGTCCTCGTTCCGATGAGCTAAGCAAACGGGGCCGCCCGGCAATGCCTGGAGGCCCTGGGTCGATCAGGAAAGATAGGCCTCCTGTTCGCCGTCCTCGTTCCGATGAGCTAAGCAAACGGGGCCGCCCGGCAATGCCTGGAGGACCTGGGTCGATCAGGAAAGACAGACCTCCTGTTCGTCGTCCTCGTTCCGATGAGCTAAGCAAACGGGGCCGTCCGACAATGCCTGGGGGCCCCGGGTCGATCAGGAAAGATAGACCTCCTGTTCGTCGTCCTCGTTCTGACGAGCTAAGCAAACGGGGCCGTCCAACAATGCCTGGAGGTCCCGGGTCAATCAGGAAAGACAGACCTCCTCCTCGTCATCCTCGTTCTTACAATTAGAGAAACACAGGAGTCCCTCCCTAGGGGTGGCGGCGGTGCTGGCCCTCATGCCGCCCTCAGGATCCTCTCATGACCAATGGTGGCTCCAAGTTTAAGCCTCCTGCTTCTTGTCCCTAATGGTGAAAGGCGAAACTAAATCCATGGAGAATGCTGTCCAACTCCCTTTCGGAGGAGTAAGAATAGCAGCTTCCCAACTATCAGGGATCGCTTTATTTAGTGCTAGTAGCAGGAGCTAGACTTGTCGCAGTCAAAGATTTATTAGGGGAGGGGACCTGGCCGTTATATTGAGATCCTAGGTTTAGCAGAATTTAGCATCTTAATTGTTGTCTTACTATATCAATTGAATGTGCTTTCTCGTCCATGTATTAAAGGAGGTGGTGTGATCAATAGCAGTAGGGGGGATAGGATTGGCCAACGGCTTGTTAACCACGCAGCACGGTTGACTCCCGAGTTTGACGTTGACGGAGCCTTAGCTCAAATGTACCTACTTTTAGAGATGTAGTTAGGGCTATAGCTGTGCTCAAGAGTCAAGGATCGCGCCTTTGAAGCTCTACCCCCCTGGTTGTTCGTATTGTAGTCCCTGTCTGTCATATGGATTGGTCTTATTTCCAACTCGAGAAGAAAATTAGCGGCCTTAGGTGATACTGGTAGTTTTCATACCAAAATTTCCGGAATCGGTGTGCGATATCGTCGGTGGTCTCGGAACAGTTGAGTTTAACTAAGTTATATACTTTCCCTCTACCAGGCTGATCATAGCTGAATTATCCACCCTGATCAAACTCAAAATTCATTAATAGTATAAGTACCGTCACTTGAAAACGGTCCTTGCTCAAGATTCACTTTCAGCCATAATCGAAAACATTGCCCGATATCTCCTACCCTGTCGATCAAGTCTCGGCGAAAGCTCTAACTCTCCCAATGCCCGGTACCTCAGACAAAGCTCCGGTCCCAGACCAGGCCGAGGCCAATGCCTTCTTTCCTTCACCTTTCTCCCTGACCAAGTATGTCTCGCCACAGACGGACTTTGATGGAGCAAACTACCCCAATGCTTATAAAGGCGGCAAGTGGAAGGTTCTCCTCATCGGAACTCAGGAGCGGTACCTCAAAATGGCCGGAGGCGAGTTCTTCTCCACGGGGAATCATCCCGTGGAAATGCTTCTGCCGATGCTCCACCTCGATGCCGCCGGCTTTGACATTGACATTGCGACGCTCTCGGGAGACCCAGTCAAGCTGGAGATGTGGGCCTTCCCACAAGAGGACACGGCTGTCAAGCAAATCTTTGAAAAGTACAAAGAGAAGATCCGTAGCCCCCTCAACCTCCAAGAAGTGTGGGGCAAGGGCTTCACCAAGGACACTGAATACCTCGCCGTCTTCGTCCCCGGCGGGCATGGCGTGTTGAACGGCGTGCCGTTCTCGGAAACTGTTGGCCACGTCCTCCGCTGGGCCCATGACAATCAGCGTTTCTTCATCACCTTGTGCCACGGCCCTGCCAGCATGCTCGCCGCCGACTTGGGCAAGCCCAAGGGCAGCAAGTTCATATATGACGGGTATTCAATCGACGTCTTCCCGGATTCCCTGGACAAGGAAGCCAACGTCGATATTGGGTATATCCCCGGCAAGATGGCTTGGTTTGTGGGCGAGCGGCTTCGCAAGCTTGGTGTCACGCCCCTGAATAAAGACATCACCGGAGCGACGCACCAAGATCGGCTTGTTTTGACTGGCGATTCGCCGCTGGCATCAAACAACCTTGGCAAGCTTGCGGCAAAAACGCTGCTCGCTGAAGTTGAGAGGCTCTCTTAATGAGTCGGATCATAGTATAGTACGATAAAGGCTTGACTCTATAGTTTTGTATCCCGCGCTGGGGGATGGGTTTTCAGTTTGTAATAATCGTCTTGTGATCTCGGTTTCCAGGATATGGAAATTTTCTTGTTGTTATTTATGGCCAATCTAGTGCAAGATATGGCCCCCGTAATTCATAAGTTCATCAACACCATCAAGTGCCGCGGTAGCATCTTCTAGAAATGATATGACTAAAACCTTCACAGAGTCTTCTTTGATGCTAGATGGAGTGGTGCTCAGCGTGCCGGAACCTGTTAGCCGAGAAGCAAATTCTTTTGCCATCGGATACATCGTCTTATCCTTCTGCTATCACTCACTCTATTGATTTTTCTGACTCTAGGATTACTAAATTCGATGAACTTGAATGTGCGTAACTTGGCTCTTGTAACACTTGCTTGGTGTCAAGCTCTGGAGCCCGAGTCGTACGGGCAAACCGCAGATGTTGGAGCCATTGGTGTTAATTCGTGTCCCACGCCGGGCTTTAAGAATGATTTCAAGTATCTCAGAAGGCGGTTGCTCCCGTTGACGAGATTGGCTGGCTTTGATAGGTAAGAATGCCGGTGGCAGTCCACTGCTGGTCCACGTGGTGCAAGGGATAACAGAAATCACTCAGCACACCAAGAAATTATTCACGCATCAATTCTTTCTATGGATTGCGTCTATGAAAAAGTTTCTCGTGTATATATTCTGGCCTGCTCACAATGTACAAACCTCATACTGCCAGAAATCTATCCCGATATCATTTGTTACCCAGAATCCAATGCAGGCCTATAGTTTTAGCCAAATGAACCAATGAATCGAGGATGAACTTTAAATTTTTGGGTAGGCTTTGAGTCTGATGCCAGGTCTTAGCTTGACTATCTTTTCATAGCCACTGACGCAGAATACCGCGAGAAGGTGCCTAGCAGTCGTTCTGCGTTATCCAGGCATCTGGATAGCAACCTCCACTCAAAACCACTCAGACTTGGCTTTATAGGAAGGGTTAGGGTGAGAATGAATAGCAGGGATTGCGGTTCTCCACTAGCTCTAGACTTCTAACAAGGATTATTGCCGTCGAGTGCCACTTACCCAGTCAGAACATCGAGGCCAGTTGTGTAGATAGGGGATAGCTAAGTTACGCTTACCTCAATTCTGCTGGCAGGGATGATTCAGAACCACTTACTCCCAGGATTTAGTTCTGCGAAGGGGCGAGCCATAATTCCAAAGCTCCTGGTAAATCCTCCTTTAAAAACATTGAAATCCGCGCCTAATACTTTGCGTTATCACGAAAAATAGCTTTTTGACAGTTTGAAACCTCTTCACCCCCTACTTGAAAACGCAGTTGGAGATGCAGGGACTCGCCACCTGCAAGTAATGTTTCAGAACTTTAGGAAGCTCAATATTCGCAAGCGTAAGCGGCTTTGATCAATGATCGACGTTCAATCGCAACAAGCTTTTGCCCATGACCGATGTTGCATTTGTTTCCGGGGGATCATCGTGTCGGTGAAACAAACCGCTCATGCAAGTCAGGGATAAGACTGCTCCCGATACGGACAGCTACATTTGCCACAGTCAGCACTGCTACGCTACAGCCGAGGCAATCATTCACGCAGTTGTAATGGCAAGGAGTAGAGGTTTGCGACAAGCCTGATTCGAACGGAGATCTAACTAGGCTCACAAATGAGGAATGATACATTAAAAAAGGAAAGTCCGTGTGGCAGCTATATCATATGGTGTTTTCATCCATCAATGAAGATGACATTTGGAATCAGAAGTTTAATCGAGTTGCTCATATGGAATATTGGCAGAAGTATTCTTAAGAACACATGGGATACCTGGCCTGCGATCTAAGTCCTGCGTACCAAATAGGGCAAATATTAGTAGAAGTCTTGTAAAGCATTTTGTGTCGCATTGATCCTCGTGATGAAATAGTGCCTAAGAGGGAAGGTAGTAAATATATTCGAAAGCCGCTTAGAGGGTTGAACTCGTTAGGCCTCCAAACCTAGCTAAAGATTTTGGCAAGGCCAATTAGTATAAATACTGCCAAGCTTGTTGTAAGATCTTGTAGTTCCCTCTCACTCAACCTATACAACATTACTGTTGCTAAACTTGTTAAAAATACAACTCCAAATAATCAACCATTTACTACAACATGCACTCCAACGGAATCATTTACACCGCGCTCGCCGCATTGTCCATGGTGAGCACTGTGGCGGCAGTCAAGTGCAGTGCCGACTTTTTCTGCAACCAGATTGACTGTTCTGTCCCATATCAATTCCCATCCGGCTGCGGCGATGGCAGGTCTGGCACCTGGGGCGTACACGCCGAGGTAGATTGACATTTCTTCACTCCTTACTTGGTTGACTTTTGTGAGTTGTAGACTTACTTATTTCTTGCAGGCCTGTGGATATGTCGACTGCAACTGTGCCACGAACTCGGCTGTCTTCCTACAGACTTGCTAAAAGGGCTAAAGAACTGCGCCTAAAGCGACCTGGGTGAAGGTCTTGGCGAATGTTACTCAAGGATTGACATCATGTGCTAGAAGGATGACACGGAATTCTTCCACCTCTCGATGATAGTGAGAGACTAGGTCTCAGGGGCCTCTATTAGTCAATTGACAATTCATCTATTACATGCGTCAGTCCGTTATAATCACAAAATTTTACGTGACCACTGCCTTATAATTGGCTTGAGACTTTATCTAGCTGGGATCACCCCTGATCCGCCCACCTTAAAAGGGATGTCACCCTTGAAGACCCGCCAGTCCGCAACGTTTAGATGCGTGGTCAATGTTTTAAGCCCGGGACCGAAATATTTCTCACATCTCGGCGACAACCCGAAATAATGTGAGAGGATCACGGGATAGATATAGTTTTAACACTGCCCGAAATCCAGCACGAATCCTTTGATCAGCCTTGAAAAGAGAACCTTATCAAATTACGCAAAGGCAAGAAGCCAGTTAGAAGCGACATAACTCGTTTTCATCAAGCAATAGAAACTTGGATACAAAGGGTGCTCATTGAATTTTACAGGTGACTGCTGGTCGCGGGATAAGTATATCTGTTCTTTATGCTTGTTTCATCAGTCGTTATTAAAGGAGATGGGATTTGAGTCTTAGGCAAGACTTTAGCAATCAGCATCCATTTAATCAGTTAAGTTTGAATTTTATACGAGATTGGTATAAGTACGTTGGAATTAGCTAACATACTTATATTTTGCGAGAATGGTTTAGCCTCTTGTTGATAGAATGATACACGCAAATCGTTCGCTGAGAATGTAATAAATAACTGCAAGTCTCTTTGGGTTCCATGTAATGACTTAACCTGTTATTTTGGCATTTATCAATAACTTCGTCATTTACAAAGCATCGGATAGGGTAGCCAAGTCAAAAACACAAGACATTGGTCCCCTGGCACTGGTTCAAGCGACAACGGTCTGTGCGCTGGGACGCGTCGCGTCGAGAACCTGGACACATTCCCTCAAGATTAAAACCTCCAACATTGGTACCTAACATCTTTACTGCGAGTCCTAGGGCGTATTCGAGTACATTCTGAGGCGATAATCGTACACCATTAAACTCCACCTTTATTCCTGAGCATGGCTACTTCCCGCTTGGACAGGATTCGTACCGCGGTTTCCAATGTGCAGTTTGGGGTGTCAGAAGACTTCGCATCGCGCCGCTGGAAAGGGCCCATCGCCACAATACGAGCTGGCCTCAAAGATTCGACCATTAGGCACAGGATTCCTCGCAAGAATCGAAGCCGCGTACCGAGACAAGACGAAAGCCGCTTCGTTGGCTACATTTTGAAAGAGGAGGAGACTGCCCGCTCTCCCATGACACCAATGGATCTCATGGATTTCGTCTATTGTTACCTAAGCGCAAATGGGGATACCGCGCCCCTGGAAAATGACTTTATTGCCAATTTCCTGCACCGCAACCCTGAGATTGAGTTGGCTGAAGACGGTTTGTCCTTTTGTTTCGCGTCTCTTCGAGTTTTAGTCATTAACCTTTTCAAGGCTATCTTCGTGTTGTTACTGAAGCTAGCGACGAGGAGGAGACCGATACACAGATGGAGTGTGATTCGGATGATTCCGAAAATCCAAACGTTCTCGTACCATTTGTCAGTCAATTTCCGTTCCGCGTTATATCAAAAGAAGTTGAACAGGATTCAGAAGACGATGAATCTGAAGAAACAGATGATCCAGGCGAAGAGATAGAGGATATAGAGTGTCAATGATTTCCTTTACCAACAAGTCGTTGCAGCGTTCGCAGGTAGTTAACTTAATCGACACACTTTTTGAAAGCTTTGCCGACTCGGCTTCTTCCGTTTTGTATATACACATATAATCTAAAAGTCTGAATAATTGTTGAGTTGTCATCTCCTTGGATATGTTAGGCACAGGGAGCGCAGTTGACTCGGTCACTAAGCCGGTAGAAAGCGCCGGAGCCACGGGACGAGTGACCTCAAGACCAGCTTGGAGAGTACGAATTTCAGAAGCGGAGTAAAATCCGCTCAGAAGAAAGGATGCAAGTGTAAGTCAAAGGTTATGCCGGGATTTGACGAGAGGTTGGATACTACGTTGAACTCTATCAAGGAACAAGCGTATAGACCGACTCGGCAAGCTCGTTGTAAACCCATCATTTGCCCCAAGCCCCTGATCAAAGAACATCTGGGTAGCAGTAAGTCGTGTTCAAGTGTAGGCTTCGTATTGCGACGAAATCTAGGTAGAATGAGCTTTTAGGTTACTTAGTTGTATAGAGATTCTGATAATGAGGTACAATAGTCTGTTCCTTGGCCTCCTATAAATACGTGTTCACATTTGCCTGATCAGGTGAGCGAGCTACCCCCTATCGCAGGGACTTCCGCAGGGAAGGGGGGATAAAGGCCAAGGAACATCAATTTAGATACGCCACGAATCGAACCAAGTCAGGGCCTGACGGAGCATAAGAAGGGATGTAACCACAATTGTACACTCAGACCTGGCATCGTATTATTGAAGAATGGCTGCTCAGATAAAAGCGTGGTAACGGTTAGGAGGGTAGATGCCGCTATTCGGTATGGGAGTTTCTGGAATTCAAGGATTCACACACAAGCTTGACGTTCCACAACCAGAGCGCATGTCTAGGTGATTCTGGAACATGCCATATGTGATTCTAAGCCAAATTGTACATGTGGACCTCGGAAGATGTAGCTTGGCGTCGAGGTGCTCAGTAGATACATAGCTATCACTGGATGTTTTGATGAATGGCCTAATAGAGATTTCCCGGGTCTCAGGATTATGCACTAAATATGGATAAACCTGGCAATTTGGCTGCTTTCTGTCGTTTTAATGGGGGCTGGGTCAGCCAAGTCACCGCCTGAGAGAAATGGGAGTCAAGTATTGATAAATTTAGTGCTTTCTGGTAGACAGCTGGCTCAAGCTGGGAAGGAATTTGGAGTGCTTGGGGAACGCAAAAGTTGGGGGCACGGCGAGTAGCTAATGATTTCGGCTGTGGGTCTGCCAAAAAGGGAGCCCCCGCAAGGAATTCCTGATTCGTGAATCTTGATTACAACCTCATGTCACAAATCTCCTAAAATGACAGGGGCAACTCATGAATAAACGCACGTATTTACAGATGTATGTAGAAGAAAGCCTTAGCGTTGTTTTCTTTCAAACTTTTTATGTATTTATTGAGACATGCCCAGCTATAGCTTCCTTCTCCCTAGCTCTCGTTTTCCTTTCATTCTTTCCTTCATAGCCATACTACACACTCTTACTTGGATTCAGAAAACATTGTCTTACCGAACTATTCAACAATGACTTCAGAACCATCCAAGAGTCGAGGGCCCTTCACACCCGCACTGTTAATCGCATCCATCATGACTGCGGTAAATATTCAGTTGCTCCTCCTCGCAGGTATGTGCTATCTCTACGGCACTACCTTTCATCAAGCATATCGATATAGCAATCTTGATATTCTGGCAATCAATTTGGATCAGGGCGACATTGGAGGTGCGTTAACTCTCGCATCATCTCAATTTGACGGACGCTATCACCTCCCGACCGTCAAGATTGGTTCGAGCCAGGACTACCCCGACCTCGACTCGATTCGGAGCTCTGTCTGCAGAGCCGACTACTGGGCTGCTGTTGTTATAAACAGCGGCTCATCCGATAGATTCTACGGAATCATGAATGGCTCCATGAGCACGGACGAGTACGACCCAGCCGCCGCTGCGACTTTCATTTACAACCAAGCACGCCATCCCAATATCGCCGATTCCGTCCTGCTGCCGGGCATAAACGCGCTTGTTAAGGCCACTACCGAAGTATTTTCCGAATCCTCCAATGCCCAGAGCGCACTCATGAACCTCAACACTTCCAACGTCCTCCTCCCTACGATCAAAACCTACCTCAACCCCATCGAAGCGACAGCGGATCTGATCCAGCCCACGCTCCAACCCAGCCGCTCCTTCTACAATACCGTCAACATGGTTATACCTCCATTAGCCCAGTTCTTTTTTATCCTGGCTCTGAATGGAATCAGTATGAAAATGAACTTCTTTTCCTCGGCCTCGGTGTTTGAAGTCTGGGCGTTTCGATTCTGTATTGGCAAAATATACACCCTCATCAGCGGCCTGTGCATGTCTGCCTTCATCTATGCCTTCCGAGACAGCTGGGCCATTGGTGGTGCCGTCTTTTGCAAATCCTGGATGCTCTATTGGCTCCTCATGGATATCAACTGGCAGGTTATGGAGACCTTGATCGCCTGCTACATACCGATGCAGTTCTCGCCCTTCTTCGTCTTCCCCTGGATTATCACGAACGTCGCCAGTACGGTGTTTCCGTACGAGGTCATGCCTGCGTGGTACAAGATTGGCTACGCCCTCCCCTCTAGCGGAGTGTACACGTTGTTGATTCACATCTGGTCGGGGTGTGGCAACCAGCTGGGAGTGGCGCTGCCGGTTCTGTTTGTTTGGTGGGCTCTAGGTCATGTCACGTCGGTTTTTGCTGTACGCAAGCGGTGCGCTGATTCCGCCAAGGAGCCTTGGTCGTCGAGCGATTCAAACTGAACAATACGATCAAAGGACACGCTATATCGACACAGGAAAATCTTAAGGTAGCACTACTAGGATCATGGTAAAATATGGCATGATTCAAACCATTGGAACGAGATGACCTTGATGGAACTTATATCAACTCCAAGTCTTCAAATCATAAATGGTAATAGAGAGATTAGAAGGGCGCGATGAGTTGTTCCTTCACTTATTCATGATAAAGTTTTTGGTCTGCCAACAACGACCTGTATAACGTCGGGCTCGAGATGTGTTACTTGCAAACAAGCTAGACATTCGACCACATTATCCTTCGTGCTAGTTAATAATCGGGTTCCATAAGCGGGATTGTACCAAATCGTCAAGTAAGAAGGCTTCCCTATATCATCGCTGATACAGCCCTTGCCAGGCAGTCCGCGTGGATTACTTAAAGTTGTAAATGTGAGACTCTCGAGGCTCGGCGCACGAGACATCGCGGTACATACCTGTCCTTCCTCGAAGTTATCAGAGGCACTAAGAGCAACTCGACGGATGTATATTTCCATCAAGACATACAATCGCTGTGGGCTTGACCTCTCTCATCCCTTACGGCAGCATAAAGTAACCCGTATAGGGGAAAATTGGGCAGATCCTCTACATTATTCTACACTATCCGCAAGACTTGATGCAACCACATTGCGATAACCCAATATCGCAGTGAAACAGGTTTCTAAAAAGAAACCACTAAATCTATCAGATCAACATTAATCAACATAACTTGACTGTGTTTTGATCAATCGCAGAAAGTCCGGAATTAATTTGTTGTTGATCGCGAGGTCAGAGTTCGGTAAATGTCACGTCGTAGTCTGAATTTGGCCCATTTTCTTATGAGTCCTGTACGACTTGTTTTCATTTGTCCTTCGGCGTTATTCTTAACCATTTGAGCTCAAATACAGGGCGAGAATATTGGGCCTTGATATCTGTCTAGCTGTCTACTATATGGACGTCAACAAACATAATCTTTCTGAACAGCATTCATAAAGCTTATTAAATTTTCCGTCACGTTTTTCAAAGACACTGAGTGAACCGACGACTGCATATAATATAAGAGTATTTCCATTAGGAGAGAATGGTTGGTTGATATACGTGTTGGATGCTTATTGGACTCATGAAAATCTATGCCCCATTCGTAACGACGGTCTGAAGGCAGACACAAGGCGTTTTTAGAGGCAGGCAGAGAATATAACTGCACATCCAATAGGTCGGGCAGATATACCCCGCCATTGGGTTGACACGCTTATCCCGTGACCTCAGCATGTACCCAACTCTGCCCGCCTGGCAATTTCAATCAGCTCCCCGCGTGCCTAAACCACCTACTCTCACGGGAGAAAATTAAACAGCGAGTGTTGCGAGAGACATCCCATTCTGGGGTTCCAGCTTTGGTGATCCGGCACTCTGTTGCGGATTCAGATCCGTATCTACGACCATGCGGCTGCTCCAGCTCCAAGATGGTGTTTTGAGCCTGACAAAAGATTCTGTGGACAATATTCCCCCATACGCGATTCTCTCGCATACATGGGGAGAGGATGATCAGGAGGTCACGCTGCAAGATGTCATGCAGGGAAAAGGCAAAGACAAAGAGGGATATCGAAAGATTGAGTTTTGTGGCAAGCAAGCCACCTCGGACGATCTTCACTATTTCTGGGTAGACACCTGCTGTATCGACAAGTCAAGCAGCGCAGAGCTTCAAGAATCTCTCAACTCTATGTTTCGCTGGTATCAAAATGCCGCGATATGCTACGTGTACTTGGCAGATGTTCCAAGGAAGGCCGAAGTCGATGACCTACGCCGAGCAGACTGGAGGTTAGACCTACGGACAAGCAGATGGTTCCGTCGAGGCTGGACACTTCAAGAGCTACTTGCTCCATCAACAGTAGAATTTTTCTCATCTGATGGGCAAAAGCTGGGTGATAAAGCATCGCTGGAATCACTGCTGAGCGAAATCACCGAGATTCCTGCCACAGCTCTTCGGAACAGTCATCTACCGACATTTAGTGTGGAAGAGCGGATGTTGTGGATAAAAAGACGCGAAACGAAAAAGGTAGAAGACATGGCTTACTCCTTATTCGGCGTTTTTGACGTTCAAATCCCGTTGCTTTACGGCGAAGGGAGAGAAAAAGCATTTGGGCGGCTTCGACGGGAAATTGACAACCATGATTACCAAACGAGGGTAGTCAGTAAACTCCCAATTGCCTCTGGAGCTGCTTTTGATTCTCACGCTGAAGAACACAATCCTACATGTTTAAAAGGTACTCGAGTTGCACTACTCTCTCAAATATCCGAATGGGCTGATGATCCGCAAACCGAGGCATTGTTCTGGCTTAATGGCATGGCGGGCACAGGGAAATCAACAATTTCGCGCACACTGGCATCGACTTATGATAGAGATGGTCGTCTTGGTGCCAGCTTTTTCTTCAAGAAAGGTGAAGCTGATCGAGAAGGTGTTTCGAAGTTTTTCACCACCATTGCGGCCCAGCTGGCCCGATACATCCCAGCAACTGCGCAGCATATGCACAGTAACATCAGTGCAGATCCTGCCATATTGGAAAAATTAATGCCAGCGCAATTCGAAAAGCTCATTTTGCAGCCCTTAATAGCTAGCAAGAGTGCTCGGTCACGCTTAATCATCGTGGATGCGCTCGACGAATGTGAAGTTGAGAAAGACATGACGCTCCTCATCAAGCTTTTCTCGGGCGTTAAGGAAAAGGTTCCTGGACTGAAGGTTTTCATCACCAGCAGGCCAGAGTTACCCATTCGACTTGGCTTTAAGGCTACCAAAGGCGCCTACGACAAGGTGATTCTTCATGAAATAGCTGACTCGGTGATCGAACATGACATAACTGTATTCCTTGCGCATGAACTGGGACAAATAAGGTACAACTACAACGAGTCTGTCGATGAACAGGAACGACAGTTGCCAGCTACCTGGCCTACACAACAAGATAGTCAGGATTTAGCTAATATGGCAGTTCCACTTTTCATCTCCGCAGCGACGGTCTGTCTCTTCATCGCAGATCGAGTAGGTGGCAACCCTCGGAAAAAGCTTGAGAGAATTTTGAAATACAGAGCTCGAGTTCCAGGATCCAATCTTGATGCTATGTATTTGATAGTCCTCGAGCAGCTATTTGCAGGTCTTCCTGACCAAGATTCGCAGGAGGTTTTGGCGCAATTTCGAAGAGTCGTTGGTTCTATCGTGGTTCTTGCGAGTCCTTTATCGCCATCTGCATTGGCACGATTGCTCGACCTACCAATGGAGGATGTCTCAGACCTTCTGGACCTTCTACATTCGGTGCTCAGAATTCCGTCATCATCAAAACAACCCATTAGGCTGTTGCACCTATCATTTCGCGATTTTCTCTCAGATCCGAGGCAATCACAAAAAAATCCATTTTGGATAGACCAGAAAAAAATCCATGAACAATTAGGAACTGACTGCTTTCGTATATTGAAACAATCACTTCGAAATGACATTTGCGGAGTTCACCATCCAGGAACGGAACATTCTTCTATCGACCCAGAGAAAATTAGCACAATGTTGCCCGATGAAGTCCAATATGCATGTGAGCACTGGGCATACCATCTACATGAATCTAGTATAGATATATTGGATGGTGGCGAAGTGCATACGTTCCTCTCTGAGCACTTTCTCCAGTGGCTAGAGGCTTCGAGTCTGATCGGGAGGCTAAGTGAGAGCGTGAATACAATAAGGATTGTGCGGAACTTGGTGCCGGTATGTGCATTTCTGACAAGAGAAACTTTTCTATTCGTACTAATCGCTCGTATACACAGGCCAGTTCAACAATTGCGTCGTGTTTAGACGACGCTATTCGATTTATTCTTGCTTTCGTCCCAATTATCCAACAGGCCCCCCTCCAAGTATACTCATCGGCACTTATATTTGCACCTCAAAACAGTATAATCCGATTGTGGTTTGAAGATCAAATACCGGGGTGGATATCTCTACAGCCAACGGTCCCTCTCAATTGGAGCCCAAACATGCAGACGCTTGAAGGCCACAGACACTGGGTAAGCCTGGTTGTCTTCTCACCCGACTCGAAGCTTATAGCCTCAGACTCGGAGGATGATACCATCAAACTCTGGGCCGCTGATTCAGGCGCTCTACTGCAGACGCTAGAGAGTCATGGCCAAGGGACAGAGTCACTTGCATTCTCCTCCGATGGGAGTACCCTAGCTTCGGTGTCATCCAATGGGACAATTCAGTCGTGGGACGTCCGCACAGGCGAGCTACTCCGGACACGAAACATCGGGTTCGCGGGCAGTTCACCTGCTTTCTCAACTGATATGAAGCTTTTGGCAACAAAATCAGGGTATGACCGGCTCCAAATCTGGGGGACAGGTACAGGCGCGCTGCACCGGACTCTCGAGATTCATGGTGACAACATGAAAGTAGGAGGGGTCGCATTCTCATCCGATGCGAAACTCGTGGCCGCGTGCTTTGGAACCCGCATTGTCTTGGTTTGGGAGACCGGCACGGGTACGCTGGTAAAAGCAATTCGAGATTTCACTGGCGCCCGCGCTCGGGTCCGGTTGGTTTCGTTCTCGCCCAATTCGAAGGTTGTGGCATCTGCTACGCAACGTTCTAATTATGGAGTTGACTTTCTTACTGTCCGCATCTTGGACGTCGAAAACGGAGTGCTACTACACACGTTTGATTGCAAGCGTAATCCAAGCTCGGTCGCATTCTCTCCTGACTTGAAGCTCGTAGCATTAGCGTTATATGACGGGACAATCGAGCTCAGGGCCGCCGACACTGGCGATATGCGGCAGCTTCTCGAGGGCCACAGAAAGGAGGTTCTCTCAATTGTATTCTCGCCTGATGGGAAGCTGGCGGCCTCGGGCTCAGCAGATAGGACTCTCCGGCTGTGGGATGTTAACATACACGCGCCGGCAGAGACACGCTACGGTGGCCGCCCCATCAACCGTCTCTCGCTCTCTCCTGATAAGAGAACTATGGCTTCAGTATCAGACAACCAGACTGTCCGGCTCTGGGACACTTACTCAGGAATACTACAACATACACTTGAAGGCCACAGCGCGTTTGTGCTGGCAGTTATATTCTCACCAGACGGGAAGATGGTGGCCTCAGGCTCAAGGGATGGAACTGTCCGACTTTGGAGCGTTGAAACAGGCGTCCTTAGATATACTCTCAAAGATTATGACACTTCTTTCCCTGGTCTTGGGCAAATAATTAGGTTCTCAGCCGACTCGAAGCTTGTGGCGATAGCATCAGAGTCCCACTTTCTGCTTCGGGACACCAATCCAGATCCTAAAATACCTGTATACGTAGCTTCGCTTGTGTTATCGCCTGACTCGAAACTTCTAGCCGCAGCATCACGTGGAGCCACGGTGCTATATTCCACCGTCCCAATCCCCGCATTATCGAACAACTTCGTCGAATCTTATTCCTTAGTGAAACACCGGACCATCCAAGGTTTTACTGGATCAACATCAGTGTTCTCACCTGACGGGAGGTTACTAGCATTGTCGTTGCATGGTGAGAATATTTGGCTTTGGGCTACTGGCTCAGGTAGATTACAGCATATTCTCGACAGTCACGGGGAAACTATCAATCAAGTCGCGTTCTCACCCGACTCAAAATGTGTGGCCTCGGCATCATTGGACAAGACCGTCCGGCTGTGGGAAACTGGCACAGGTATCCTATATCGCGTCCTTAATATCGGTTTCTATTCAACAAGTCTTACATTTCTTACTGCCAACAAACTCCAAACTGATGCTGGCATTATCACTGTCGACAAGTCGAACATGCAATCCGGTCGGGGTATGACTCCTGTATCTAGTTGTCGGAATATTTTTTCTGGGTATGGCCTGAGTTCAGATGGTAGCTGGATCACTTTGGACGGACGGAATTTTGTCTGGCTGCCGCCAGAATTCCGACCCTATTCTTCTGAGGTCCAGGTTTTGTTTGACTCTACAGTTGTGATCGGCTGCCATCCAGGAAGACTTATCATCATGCGCTTCTCAGCAGACGAATTTCAGAGATCTAGCCTCATAAGTTAAGGCTGTGTGTGGTGTTTGCACCCTCTTTCTCATTGAATGTATATTCCCAACTTGCTCTTTTCTATACCAGTAATACTGTGAAGTGTTTTGCTACCAATATTGGGCACGATGTACATGCTGGGGCTAAGCATATTAGGTGAGCCTCGAATCCTGGGTCAGGTGGATGTGTCTACTTTCCGGCTGCACAGCTAGGACATGCAGCATTTTTGGAGCAGCCCTAACCGAAGAAGAATTTTTATTTTTCTTGTCAGTCCCCAGCACCAATTGTTTTAACCAAAGCCACTCCCGCCGTCCTACGAGGAAGCATCAGTAAATGACAGGCAAAACGACCAAAAGTGCTGATGTACGTGGCTATTGATAAACTAAGCCGTATATCAAATATGCGGATTATCTTGTTGAAAATTCTAATATCGGGTCAGACCAACCAGTATTATAACTTATTGCTCACTTATATCAATAGCAGTCTTTAGTTAAAACAACGACACACTGAAAACAACTATGTGTGCTAGATGAGAAAAGAAAACAACCTGGCAAACCTAAACAGCCTTGATGACACATAGCCAATTCAAAATTTAGCAATATGGCAACAGGTATCAATGCCTTCAAAAAAAAAACTCTAGCTACGGCCAACATGGCATAAATCACAACCAACCTTAGGCTGTGAATCAATGATTCCAAAGGAGCGAAGGATGCGAACATTGGACGGCTTGCCCTTCGGCTATTAGAAAGAGCATAATTGAATCGAAATTCAATTGGGGAAATTATAGAAAGCTGTTTTTGGTTGCTAATACATCATTTTCGGACAATGAAGGTAAACGACGAAGGCCCTACAGTCTTGCTTCTACTGTACCGGGGCATCACTAAACCATAATTCTCAAGCTAGAATACACGTCTCGCCTAAAGTAAGAAGGATAATGTTTATGCAGGAAAAGCTAAGATTAACCTATATGCACAAAACACAGTGTTGATGCAATTCGAACTGTTCTCCAAGCAAAATTTAGTCGGCCAACAGCTGCATCCCAACTATCAACCAGCCCCCTCTCATGCACAATCGACCGTTCAAGTTTGGATGGGATCGTTTTCTCTTTGTGGGGAGTCGGTGAATGCCTGTATCTGATCCTACAAACTAATCCTTCGCAGGATTGATCGCAGTGCCACCTCGGCCAGCAACGCGTCAAGCTTCCAAATGTAAAAAGGTCCCTAGACCTTAAACAGCAAGAGAAATCAGGCCCGAAACATCCGGGCAGCGTGTGACGTGCAGATTGGCATTGACAGACCCCTTGCAGACGGGATCAGCATGTTGGTCTCCACATGAACACTCCATGGCAATCAGACAAATGAAACAAGCCAGGGACATTGACACCGACTCAGTTTCATAAGCTTCTCCTGTGGCAAAGCCTTTTACCCAAGCCAACATATAAGTCCGACGCAAGATCATCTTTTTCATCACTTGGAGACCAAAGTTTCTCATTTTCGTAACGTTGTATTCCTTGCCGATTTAAATCCCAAGATGCGTTTCAACAGTTCGGTTTTCATTGCGGCTCTGGCAGCCCTGGCATCGGCGACCCCCATGTCGGAAAACAACATCCGTGACGACGAAGCAAGCTGTACCTGTGGCAGCGATATGCTACAAAGGAGCTTCGAGAAGTGTATCTACTACAACGTGGAGAGCTCCCCGTCATGCCAGGCAGATGAGACTTGTGTGTATGAGCAGACTATATCATGCGGTAAGAGCAAATGTATTCCCATTCAACAAATTAGCTTGCTAATATTTTCTAGCCGAGAAAAATGGCTGTGAATGCCCCGACTTGGAACCCCCTGCGAGCAGCACTGGCACACCAACACCTACTCCGAGTCCTACCCCGGTTCCAACCACGCTCGAGATCGTCACGATAACAGCGATCCCTTCTTCGACCCCTTAGCCACCTCAAACTTTGCATCCCAAGAAGAAATTTGGGAATTTTCGCCCAAGTCTTCTGATGATGCGATTCTTGGGTGCCGTCCACGAAGCATGAACACATCTAATCTTCGTACCTAAATGGACGGGCTCAATGAATTGACATGAGTGCTAGGACATGTTCGAAGATTCCCATGAAAAACAAGCAAGATTCACTGTTCTCAACAAAAAATCGGTCTGGAACGATCCGACCTCTGTATATCACTGCGGCGTTATTTTCGGATCAGAATATTTGGTTTCATTTCTCTAAAAGAGAAGATACTTAGAAACCAACATGAGTACTATGATAAGATGGTTAGGCTACATAAATCGCTCGTCAGTTGGAGATGCTGGCATCAGCCTGGACGAAGGCGAGGAGAGCAGCAACTCTGTTCTCAATCAAAAAGATAGCTATTGAGATAAATTAAGAAATCTGTACTGTTCCCATTCGAGCCGTCGGTATGAAGGTTTACAAGCTTTTTCTTCCGCATGACTGCAGCCTAGGCTAGCAAAGGCTCTTTTGAAACCTTCGTATTCATTGTATTGAGATCTCGGGTTTGGCATCTTCTGTTGTTCTTTAACTTTATGCTCGAACTCTCTCCCACATTGTCCCCTGTCTGCATAATTTGAATGGCCGCGAAGTGGGTGAAAATGGTGGTGTGATTCACAGTACCTTGTCTCAACTTACATTGACCGCTTTCATCAGCCCGGATCAGTTTTGTGTCAGGACAGCCAGCATGCAGGTTTTAGTTGACTTTAGCTGAGAAGTCTGAAATCGTCATTGACCCCAGATCTTGCTATAGGGCGGGCATAAGAATAAATCTGCTCCCGAGTGCCACATCGCAAACTTCCATTTGTGAACCGAATTTGAATAGCGTTGGAATCTCAAAATTTCAAGTCGTAGACCAATTTTGCCAACTCATGCTGTTAAGGTTGTTCTTAGTGCGGCATCTACTCTCTTTAGACAGTGCCCGCACATTGAAGTTACATCATATCCAACCAGGCTACTGATGAGACCTAGTTTGATGACCATACTTTGTGTAAAAAATGCATCCTATCTCAATATCTCAGCTCGCGCCTGTTTCAAGGGTTCTTGTCGGATTCAAAAAAGGGTCTAAGTTGTTTTCAAATGAAATTACCATGTGACAGATATCTCGACATGTTGCCGAAAACTATGATGTTTCGCCAGCAGGTTATGTGGCAAATTGGCCAGGCCAGGCACGACAGTAATAAGGCATGATGCCGATATAACTTTTCACTTTGAACCTTGAATACTGTTAGCTCCTTGACTCTGCTATGGGGCGATAATTGGTTGGCTCACAATCTTCTATTTTCTCTACAATTACGTCTCACGTGGCACTTTTTCAGTGTAATGGTGCGCTGATGTTGTAAGAAGAATTATTCTTGATTTCAGCCATAACCGGAAGCTTCATTCCAATCGGTGGATACATCATACAAGAAGCTAATTCTCCATCGTGTTCACCTCACGAAGCTGGATGGTCGACACAGCCCAGAGCAAATTACCTGTGCCGTCCATTTTGAAATACGACCTACGAATAATGAGTGGCGGAAATCGAACGAAGAATACGAGATTCTATGGCTCAAGTTACATCTTGGTCGTTACCTTTGGAACTTAAATGGCGTGTTGCCACATTACTTGCTGAGGGGTTGGGAATGTCTTATGTCTGAGACGCTCGTGTCAACTTCTCAACTCGTCCATTTTCTCATTTTACCACCATAAAAAGGCGACAATTACCCAGACTTTCTTATTCTAGACCCTTCTTCCGGACCAAAATAACATATTGGCTTCGTGGGCAGAGTGTCAATACCAGCCGATCTGGAAGCCCCGTGAAAATGGTATCTACTTCGCTTATTACAATCTTTGGACTGTTTGCCTTTGCTGTCGCCGATATCACAGTGGCAGTCAACGACAATGTAAAGCCCTTACCTCTCGATATCTCTACAGCCGTCACCTCGACTACCGAGCTCCTCAACAGGAGCTGCCCGGAGGAACTGTCTGACAAGCTCCCGTACCGACCTAAAGTGTTGATGTCAACCTTTACTGACTTTGAGGAGTCGGACGAGGCGTCCTTGCCTACGGGCCAAATCTTCCCTTCTTCGGACGGCCTTGTGCGAGGCGCAATTGAGGCATGGGCCAAACACCAGCACCTAGTCCTGCGCCCCGACGAAGTCTGGTTTGAGATCTTGACGCAGCTTAATTTCTACATGACGAAACACGCTGAAAATATCCGCCACTTGTTTGTTGACCACGAAGGCAAAGAGGAGATCTTTGTCGAGGAAAGGTCCTGGCGCCGTGTCATCGGCGCGTTTTCTGAGGCGATCCAGACGAGGATCAAAACGCCGTGGCTCTATGACTGGATCATGCCGGGCTTTACAACCAGTGACGAAAATGATGAGTTGACCGCCACCGTGCTCATGATGGGTCTGATGCAGCACTATTTTGATTTTTCGGGCGGCATCACCTGTGGCTTACCGAAAGTCACGCTGCTGGGAGAGCGTAAGGACTGGGTGCAGCTGTTGGAGAAGCTCGACTACCTCGAGGAGTTCGGTGAGGAGCCTGGGGAATACGCTCAAGAACTGCGACCCATCCTTAGTCGCTTTGTGAAGACTTGGGATGAGCCAGAAAGTGACGAAACGAAGAAGTTCTGGGGCCAGATCGTCCGCGCGAAGGCGCCCTTCTCATGTGGCGGTGGTGATGCAGAGTACGATATGTCTGGATGGATTACCGGATTTCTGAAATGGCGACCAAGTGGTGATCTGCGAGTTTACCGGGCGCCAAAGGGTGAGTTGGGTGAGGATATTCCGAACCTCGACGCGAGGAGTGATGATGAGAATGGGCCGGTCGTTCTTGATGGAGTAACCTACGTCCAGGAGTCGCTGTTCACTATCCCAATTGCGTATGCCAAGGTGCCGATGAAGATGATTGACTATCCGAAAGGTGGGATTGATACAAAGGCGTATCTCTTAGCAGGGAATGTCGCTGTGAACAGGACCAAGACGTCCGACGAGAAGTTTGTTAGAGCGCAGCCGTTGAGCGCATGGTTCATGTACGCGCCGGTCGATAGTGACTACAAGGCAGAATACCCTCTTTATGGTAGTCACAGCGAGCTTGTGGACATTGGCAAAGCTATTACTCGACAATGCCCAGCTTGAGAAGACTATGGGATGCTATGTATATGTAGGTAGCCAAGGATGAGTTGAATTGCTTATCTCGCCTAGTTAGGGTGCTACTCAGAGTGTGTGCCAAGCTGAAATTGAATTAATACACACTACCACATAACTCCTAAACTTGCAAATCTAAAGTATAAACTAAGGTGCTTAAAACAGGTGGGCTTCACCCTTTCAGCCACAAGCCTTCCTTGACTGTGAGGAGATTCTCACACTATTCACCAGAACGGCGCTCTAAAGTTTAAGATTTATTATGAAGAAACCGTTACCATAACCAAACATCTTAACACGACTTACGGTTGTCTTGCAAATATGTTTATTTGAGTTGAACCTGACGAGAGCCTTGAAGGAAAAGGCTGTAGTCAGCACCAAACACTAACTAGTCACGTTGACGAGAATTCCGGCGCTTTTTTTAGCCACATTTTTTGAAAATAAATTAAATATTAGCCAGGCAAGTGGGTGACATAAGGGATGAGACACCAAATTCTTACGTCTTCTTTTTGGCTGTATACCGCGGCAAAAGAGATATAATAAGACTTAAAAAAATATATTTCTTCTTTCTATACCCTTTAAGATATATTATTATTTATTTTCTCTTACTATAAATAAGGGTTATCTAGTCCTAAGATTAAGCTATATATATAATTATTATATATAGTTTTTAAAATATAATTTATAGCTTATACCTAAACCTTTAATATTATAAAAACTTAAATATTTATATATTTAGCTTAAGTATAAGTATTAATATCTTATTAAAAACTTTAATAAGGGCTAACTAATATATAAGTTAGCTATAGCTCTAAAAGGGGATACTTATTACTATTAACTATAATTACTTTCTTATATAGTAGTAATAATAATAATAATATAATATTATTAAATATTTATATCTTTATTAATAAGAGCTTAATTATTAAAGTAGATAATAAGCTTTTAAAAAGTATACTAATTCTAATTATAAATAACCTAAGAGAGCTCTATATTAATTATATTAAATACTTAAGCCTCTACTTAATTAATAAGCTTCTTATAATAATAAAGCTACTAATAATAAAGTAAATCTAATAACTATATCTACTAGGTTTAACTCTATATTATACTAATTAAGTAGATAGAGTAAAGGTATTAAATAAAATACTCTTTAGGGATATAGAAGACCTTAATAAGCTTAGCCTTAGTAATAACCACCTTATTATATATATCTATTATAACTTAATATTTAATTATTAGTTTTAGTATATTATATACTATATTAAATTAATCTAAGTAAAAGTAGCCTTTATTTAAGTTTTAATATAATAAATTAATTTAGATTTAGGCTTACTTAGTATAATATAGTAGAAAAGCTTCTAAGAAAGGTTATTATATTTAAGGTTTATAATATTTACTAGAAAAGTTAGATCTATAAAGTTAGATTAATTAATTATATCTATAAGTATAATATAGTATTTACTATAATAAAATCTTTATTATTAGTATATAGCCTAGTTAATTCCTAATACTTAGTAATTTATATAGTTATATATTATATAGTGTAAGATATATTATAGTCTTCTTCTTAAGTTTTTAAGGTAATTTGGGGTTAAGTTGTGGCGGATCAAACATAGAGCCTCTCCGGGTATGGATGCTTGAAGTGCTGGTTTGGTGTCTTATCCCTTATGTCACCCACTTGCCAGGGAATTGAGTACGGTATTGCTTATGCGGGGCATAAGCATCTGGAAACTCATAAGCATGTTGAGGAGGTAAGCAAAATGGAGCCCGTATAAGCATAAGCAAGTTTGGAAAAAGGCACAAGTAATTAAAGAAAGCCACCATAAACTATCACGCCACAATTTAGACGAAATACTTCCCGGGATCTGCATAAATAATATCTCGTATGTTCTCAATATGACTATGCTTTAATTATAAAGTCCTAAATCAATATTGATGCCTGTATTTTCTGCCATCTTGTGAATCTAAATTAAAAGTCAAAATCTAGGATTCCACAATGGCTGTACCCGCAGAAAAGCCTACGATTGTCAGGGTTGATGCTACAAACCCCGAAATCACCCCAGAGAAGCTCGTCGAGATTCTTGAGCGTGATGGAGGTGTTATTGTGGAGAATTTGATCTCACAAGAGCTTGCCGGTGAGATCCGAAAAGATCTAAAGCCGCTCTTTGAAAGGGATATTCCCGACAAGTATGGGCTTTTCCCACCAACTACACAGCGTGCCACAGGATTACTAGCTGAATCCGATGCGTGCGTTGAGCTGGTGTGCAATAAATTATTCACGGATGTTGCCAACATCATGGTATCCTCCTATCACACAATGTGGAGAGGCGACCGCCAGGTAACTATAGGTGGCAAGCCCATCCTGTCAGCTGCTCTCGGGTTTCGAGTAAACCCTGGAGGCAAACAACAGGTTCTTCACCGCGATGACAAGTATGATTATCCGTGCCTGCCCTTTCAATTGAAGCTAACTTATAGGGAACAGTGACCACCATCCCAAACCAGGCGAGGCTCTTACAATGATCTCATGTGTTACAGCCTTGACCAAGACAACGAAAGAGAATGGCGCCACTGTTGCCATTCCGGGCTCACACCTTTGGGGGCCGGAACGCCGTCCACTGGACGAAGAAGCTGTCCCAGTCGAGCTCGAAGTTGGAGGAGCACTTATCTTCCTAGGAACCCTGTATCACGCAGGTGGCTCTAATATTACTAAGTATGTCCATGTTTATTCATTGGTCGGCATGATTTACTTTGACGCTAACTATTTACTCTTCCCTAGGGATGATTATCGAGAGACCCTCGGAACCTTTTTATGTAAACCTATCCTTCGACCAACCGAGAACTTCTTCCTCGAAATCCCGGTCGAGAGAGTGAGGCAGATGAAGCCTCAAGCTCAACGCCTTTTGGGTTATGGCGTTTGTGAGCCCGGTATTGGTTTTATGCACTACCAGGATCCCATGAGGGCCCTATTTGGAGTTGAAGATGAGGAAACCGTTGACATGTAATTTACTTTGCCTTACTTAAACTGTTGATGATGAATAAAAGTTGTCTGTCTATTATCGTTCTTGTTATACGAATCGAGGAGGGCACTTATGCTTTAAGAGAGATAAAAGTTTACAAATCAACTCAGATCCCATTGTTTACTGGAAAATATCGAGCAGTAGCCGTGTGGACAGTGATTGCGAGCGTCAGCCTTATAATTTCACTCTCCTTGTCTAATCTCGGTCCCTGGATTTAATTTCTAGTCAATATCCACACTCTTTGTCAAACGCTCCCTAAGTATACGTCTAAGAGAGACTTTAGCTTTAGAAATCCTTCGATCAATACAGAAGAATTAAATCCTTGCGGAGCCAGCTTTCGCCATCCGCCGTAATGTCAATTGGAAATATCAAAGGCAAGGAACATCAACCAGCACAGGAATATTGGAAATCTTGTATATTTACCCAGAGATATCATGGATATCTGCGTAGATCATCGTCGTGTTAATCTCTGAACTTTTCTCGTCTTGGCAGGTCTAGAAAACTCATTGCAAGGCTACTTACCTCAATCTGCCTATTTTCCGTTCTTCTAACCTATAGGGGCCAACCCAACTTCGAGTTCGAGGCTACTGGGAGTACTTTTAGCTTCCGGTGCTTTTGATATGAAAAGGTACGACTACTGTCCGTAGCCCTATCTTGAACCTGAACCATGTGCCCTTCTCAGGCTTTATAGCAAACGATCTTCTGCAGAATTATCATTTATTGAAATGGGAAGTTGAGTATTCGAGTCTTGATTCTATGCTACCTCAGATATCCAGACATCTCTATTTTAGGAGAGAGTCAAACTCTGTGAAGAAATAAAGAACTAGTGCTGGCTTTTTTTAATTGTCAATCAAGGGTATGAGCCGACTTTAATGAGATGGCTGAAGCATTGTGCATCAGTGTTTTATATGAGCCCCTAACTATGATATGTGCACTGACTCCTATTTCAAGGCGTATAAGTCGCTCCCCAAGTTCAACATAGTCGATATCACCTTTATTCCTCTTATCCCAGATAGCATTTGGCTATTGGGATATGATGCGAGTTATTCAATCTCACAGACCAACACTTAGACTCTGAAAAATAAACAGAGTGGAGTGGAAAATAATATAAATAAAGTTTATGAAGACCAAGTTTGCTATTATATATATGGGAGGTTTTCGAAGATGAGTCTTTCTGTAAAAAAGTCGATTTTGAAGTCTAAGTCTATTTGATGGCCGTGAGGTGCTTAAGATTCTATCTAAAATAAGGACTCTATACTTCAGTCTCTACTACGCTTTTCTATAATTCGAACAGCTAGTCCTTTAATAGATGTGCTCTGCATAATGTCAAAAATGGAGAGATCCATCCCAGTGTTTGACGCAAGCCAGTTACGCAACTCAACAGCCACCAAAGAATCCACGCCGTAGTGCGTCAACGACTGATCTGAACTAATGTCCTCGGCCGGAATCAAAAACATTTTGGACATTTTCTCCGCAATCGAAGTGCTGAGGAGGACAACGGCTTCATCAGTTGAAGATGCACTTGCTAGTTGGCTCTTCAAGTCTGCCGAGGTGGTCTTCCCATTGCCCTGTAGCCCATCGGCACGAGTAACAGCAGCGAAACGACGGTCTTTGGTCCAGTAGGCATCCGATGGGTCTACCGTGCTCAGATCAGTAATGAGACCTGTAACGATGTGAGAATCATCGACCTGGCGATGAGGGTGAATCATGGCAGATTCAACGAGACGCAGCACTTCACCCTCATCCAAGGGCTTGAAGCCAAAACGGGCCAAACGTGTACCTATGGCCTCGTTCTCTGACACGTATCCTATAGAACTAACCATGCCCAGATCGAGGGTCACAGCAGGTAGTCCCCGAGCGTTTCTATACCGAGCAATGGCATCCTGGAAGCTTCCGCCCGCAGAATAGTTTGCCTGACTCACGTTGCCAGCTACGCCGACAAGGGAAGATAGCATGATGAAGAAATCAAGTTGAGTGGACGAAAAGATCTCGTGCAAGTTCCATGATCCCTGAACCTTTGGACTGATTGCAGTGACGTAACCCTCAGAAGTCATCAAGTCAAAGATAGAATCCTACCGGGTGTTAGATTGTGTTTCAGAACAGAAAATAGCGAGACTTACCCGAAGAGCCATGGCACAGTTAATCACTCCTTGTATAGGAGGCAGAGAATCTTGACAAGCATGCACCGCCGCCTTGAGATCTTCTTTGCTAGAGAAATCACAACTTTTTGCAATAGCAAGGCAGCCAGATGCTCGGAGCTCGTCAAGGAATGGTGCAGCCTTTTCACATGTAGTCTGACTGCGTGTGAGTAAGATGAAGTTTCTCGCACCACGGTCTACCATCCATTTGCAGATTGACTTTCCAATACCTCCCAAGCCACCAGCTAGGAGGTATGTCTTGTTGGAATCCAGACGAAGTGACCATTCCTGAGGTATAACCTACGAAATAGTTAGCTTAATAAACATGGTATAGTTGGAGGAGTGACTCGCCTTAACTAGATCATCTTGACCCGGAACTATGACAATTTTTCCCATGTGTTTACCTGCCTGCATCAAGCGGAAGGCGTTTTCTAAATCCGAGATCGGATATGTCTGAATGGGAGATACGGGCCGAAGAATTTCGGCTTCAAGCATCTTCATGGCATTAGCCAGAATATTGCGATAAACCGGTCCCCTGTATTTTCCAAGTAGGACCAAATCAATACTTGAGAAGGAAACGTTCTTCTTGAATGTCTCCATCTCGAGGAGTCGGTTCTGCTCGAAGTCTTTTTTACCAATCTCAACAAAGCGGCCAAACATAGCCAGGCAGTTGAAACTCGACTGGAGAAGTTCGCCACCCAATGAATTCAGAACAACGTCAACACCCTGACCTCCTGTCTTGGCGAGAATATCTTGAGCAAAGGAGGGATCCCTGCTAGACACAATATGATCAGGAAGGACGCCGTAGGTTTCTTGCACGAATTCCCTCTTCTCCTTTGAGCCTACCGAGACAAAGACCTCAGCACCAATGTGCTGGGCCATCATCACGGCAGCTTGGCCGACGCCTCCAGCTGCAGAATGAATCAAGACACGTTCGCCCTTCTGCAAGTTTGCCAGGGTGTAGAGAGCATAGTATCCTGTAGCAAACGCCATGGGTACCGAAGCCGCGACTTCAAATGGCATGTTATCGGGAATTCTGTGGACTCTTGTCCAGTCCACGCGTACCACGTTCGAATAGTACCCCTGCGTGAAAGCGCAGATCCTATCACCGACCTTGAGTTCGGATGATGGAACGGCAGCGCCGACCCGTGTTACTACACCGCTACATTCGTAGCCCATGATATCTGTTTGAAGTTGACCCAAAGCTACCATGATATCTCGAAAGTTGAGTCCAAATGCCTGGGGTCGAATTTCCACGTCGGTGTCCGGCAGAGGGGTCTCGGTATTCTGGATGGCGAAGGAAAGTGTATCCAAAAGGCCGGTAGTCCCTACGCACAACCGAAGCTCGCGGTCATTTTGGAAGAAGGGCTGCATTTCGTACTGCTTGTCAGCGAGCCCGGCGGCAGTCTGGTAGGCGGAAGGCGCAGGGAAAAGTCTTGGTAGAGAAATGATGCCATCACGCTCTACATACTCAAAATCGGGGATTGATTCGGAGGATCGTACGAGGTTGAATGTGTTCTGAGTCACCGCTGATATCACCTGAGTGGTGCTCACATCCCACACCGGCTTGTTATAGTCCAGATCTAAGGTGACGAATCTCTTGTTGGTAGACTCGGCTCTCAATGTACGGAATAGGCCGGCGCTCAGACTGAAGTTGGGATCCACGCAATCCATGGCACCTCCACGAGAAATCCAAAGAACTCCCTGAGATTGGTTGAAGAGCGACTTCACAAGGTTAAATTCTTCAGTTGTGGGATTCAGCAGGAATGGTCGTATCATTTCAGCGACGAAGATGCATAGTCTGTCGTCTATCAGCGCGTCTCTGTAGTGAGAAACCTGCGGCATTTCTCCCGTAAGGTTGAAGAGTGTTTGGTTCATCGTCTTGGTCCAGCTTTCGGGCGGAGGGCTATCATAGAGAATTGTGATCGGGGGATATTTTCCTATAAGTGCTTCATCATTCTCTTTTGCAATGGCAAACATCGTGCTGAGAGCGTAGACATCCCCGTTGTCCTCATCACAGACATCGAACTCAAGATGAAATCCACTCTCGCGAAGCAAGGAGTTCCAGTCATCATGACGGTAAGATCGCCCAGACCATTCCGGAAGGAGACCGAAGGCAAAGGTCAAGGCCAGCTCATCCTGCGTAGGCTCAACTAACAAAATCCTTCCCCCAGGCTTGAGGAGTTTCTTCAGATTCTTGAGCGTTTCTGATACTGATTTTGCCTTGAAGAGTGCTTCGCATGCGACGATAAGATCTAACGAGCCCTGCTCAAAGGATTGCGTTGTGGGATCTTCATCAATATCAAGCTCTTGGAAACACATTGCCTCGAACCTCTCCTTAACCAATTGCAATAACTCTGGTGAGGAGGCTGTGAATGTGTACTGCGCGAAACGAGCCGCCGCTCCATCATCCAAACCAGCCCCGAGCGCCTCCAGCACTATTTCAGTGTATCGATTTGCCTTAGCGCCGACCTGTAGGACACTCGCTCGAGGGTTTTTATGAGAGTAGAGGCGTAGAAGGTGTTTGACTTGCTCGTATGAATCTGGAAGTCTGAGACATTCCTCATCGTACTGGGATAGCAACCCATCTTTCTGTACCAAGTCAAGTGTATTCACTTCGTTATGCAGGATCGGGACAAGCTCTGAGCCAATGCGACAGATGAGTTTTCCAGCGGCGCTCGATTCGCTAACCCGTTTGATGAGAGACTCTTGCTCTTCTGGTGTGTTTGGGGTCCAGCCACCTGCTTTAGCTGACTGAGCCAGCGTCTCCAGTCGCGAATAAAAACGCCCCTGCTGAGAGTCTTGGTCGCACTCTACCTTCTTAGAGGATTGCAGGGCGTTTTGCGCAAAATGATAGCAAGCATTTCTAATCTCTTCGAAGATTGCGTTGTCAGTCACCTTCTGTGAGACCTGTTTGGGAATTCTCAAATCTTCTGGGCGCGCCAGGTCTAGGTCCGGTGCCCACTCGACACGAAAGTATGGCTCCGCACTCTCAGAATCAGCTGTTTGAAGGGCACCTCCAAGGTTCTGGCAGAAAAGGCCATTGATTTCAAGACGATTCGAAGAGGGTTGACCTTGATCCACCACTGCAATGGAGGACTCAAAACCTTGGGCATTCAGCCAAGTCAGCTTTGAAGTGGTGTTGAACATATGCCCAGGCATGCCACTAATCTCAGAAGATATGAACATTGACTCAATGGACCGAGGAACCATTCCACTCGTCATACGCCTATCAGGTCCCATAAGGCAACCGTACACAGACTGAATGACTACATCCAGAGTGATGGGATGTATCAGGTAGCTGTACTCGTATGGGGAGCTGCCATGTGTTTCAAAAGTGCTTCGGGAGCAGCCTTCCCCTGAGGAAACGGAAACTAATTTCTGGAAAGAAGGACCGTGGTTTATTCCACCACTTTGGAGAGACTTATATAACTCCATCAGCTTAAGATCACAGGGATACAAACCTGAATCTGTCTCGTAGTTGTTAGATCCATTCGAAATGGAGCTACCGTTGGATGACCCTTCTGCGATTGCTACCAAGCCTGTGCAGTGAATTGTCACAGCACCTTCGTCAGAGGTAGAAGATACCGTAAATTCACGCCATTCTTTCGCAGATAGTGCTCGGTCGCTCAAGGCTCTAAGAGATAAGGATATCTCTACTCCATCGAGTGTGTCAGGGACCACAAGAGCCTTCAGAATTTCGACATTTTTCAGCTTGTAACCAGTGACAGCTGCCTCAGTCGAGCGCCTGGTCTGCATAATGGCTTCAATAGCCATTGTAATGTACCCAGCGCCTGGGAATACCATATCTGACTGGATTTTGTGATCTTGCAGCCAAGAGAATTCCGATGAGCGGATCACACTTCTCCACGTCGAGGTGGATGGATCGTAACTCACGGCAGGAACACCAAGGACGCCTCGCGGTCCCTCGACACGAAGCCTCCGCTCTTTGTTGACTCGAGGTTCGACCCAATAACGCTGGCCATGGTTCCAAGGGTATGATGGGAGGTCGGTGAGAACTCGCAGCCCATGCCGAGACGTGGGGAAATTGACAGACCCCAAGTCAACTGGGTAGCCTTGATTGATCAACGTACAGACCAAAGCTTGGATTGTCTGAACAGCGTCCTGCTTGCGGACCAAGCACGACGTGTACGAGAACTGCATGCCCTTGAATTCCGGCTCTGACCAAGTTTGGCGCATGGGACCTCGCAAGGCACTGTGAGGGCCAATTTCAATGATGGTGTCAATGTTTTGACTTCCGTTGACCTGACACATGTTGGTCAGGGAATCAGTGAACAGAACCGGCTGCACCATGTTCTTGACCCAGTGCTCGGGGCGGGCAATCTCAGAGGCATCTTGTACCACGCCTCCCGTGACCGGAGAAGAGTACAGAACGTCCTCGAATTCGCCTGCCTGGTGCAGGACCTCAGCCAGGGCAGCACGATAATCCTTGGCAAATGGCTGCATCTGGGGCGAGTGGTAGGCCGCTTGGACGGTCAGACGACGCGCGAACACCTTGTCAGCCACGAGGAGGGCTTCGATCTCCTCGAGTGCCTCTACATCTCCGGATATCGTCACGCTACTTGGACTATTGACACATGCAACAACGATGGTGCCCGATGTGACCTTGGCAATGTACTCTTCTGCTTCGGCACGCCCCAGACCAGCTGCGAGCATGCCACCAGCACGGGACTTGAAATCAGTCGCCATGGTGCCTCGTAGGTAACAGATGGCGAGAGCAGATCTGAAGTCCAGGGCACCAGCAGCGTATGCTGAAGCAACTTCTCCACTGGAATGGCTGGTAACTGCTGCTGGCTTAATATTCCATGAACGCAGTAGCCGCACCAGCGCAAGCTGAAGTGCCGTGCAGATGGTCAAGCTGTGCGTCACGACATTGACCATGGTGGTCTTCTCGTCCCGCATAAGCTCCTCTGATATGCCTATGTTAGTATGTGCCGTCAAGTATATGAACGGGGGCTAATCCATGCCACATACCGAGAAGATTCCAACTTGCACCAAAGCTGCGGATGTGCCTTTCTGCCTCGAGCAGAGCATCTTTGAACACAGGATACGCCTCGATCAGCTCCCTGCCCATAGCGTGCCATTGTGCCCCCTGTCCCGTAAAGACAAATCCCAACCTAGGTTGTTTGGATGATCTGGAAACAGTGGCCAGGCCATCCTGAAGTGACTGTATGAGTTGAGACTTGCTCGCGGCTGGAACCGCGGCTGTCCATGGAAACCGGGAACGCCGTTGGCCCAAAGTGAACGCCACATCTCTCAGAAGCTCTTCGTCATCTTTCACCTGCTTCTTCTCCAGGTACCCCGCGAGGTCCTCCATCATTCTACGAGTGCCCCTCTCATCCTTGGCACTGAGAACCAAGACTCTTGGCAGCGGCACATCGGCATGGTGGCCGTTGGTGGAGCCGTTGGTGTGGCCATTGGCGTGGCCATTGACGCGGCCGTTGACATCACTCCCCTTGCAACCGTTGGAATAAGCTTTGACGGAAAGGCTGGTCGACGAGTATGCCTCCAAGATTACGTGAGCATTAGATCCTCCATAGCCGAAATTGTTTATTGAGGCTCTTCGGTACTGGCTAGTGCCGGGCCAGGGCGTCAACGAGGTTGGGATCTAATCATCGAGTAAGCAAGTTAGCGAACCGGCCAATGGTGCTCTGGTGTTTTGTGGCTCCCTCACCTTGATTTTCCAGTCCCTGACTGGGATCGCGGGATTCGGTGTGCGGAAGTCCGCATTAGGCGGTATGATCCCCTTCTCGAGCGCCAGGCTCACCTTGATGATGCTTGCCAGCCCACTCGCAGTTTCCGCGTGGCCGATGTTAGATTTGATCGAGCCGATCAGCAAGGGCTCATCGACCGGCCTGTCCCTGTTCAGCGCGCAACTGAGCGCCTCCGCCTCGATGGGATCGCCAACCTTGGTGCCCGTCCCGTGAGCCTCCACGTAGGTCGTGTCGAGGGGGTCGAGGCCGGCAGACCGGTAGCACGAGCGGACGAGTTCCTCCTGGGCCTCCTTGCTGGGCGACGTCAGAGTCGGCGTGTGGCCGTCCTGGTTCAGCGCCGTCTGCCTGATGACCGCCCGAATGGGATCGCCGTCCCTCACGGCATCCGACAGGGGTTTGATGATTATGGTGGCAACACCGTCTCCGCGGCCGTACCCCTGTGCGCGGTCGTCAAAGGCGAAGGATTTTCCCGTGGAGCCCAGAAACCTATCAATCAGTGTCAGTCAGCAGCAAGTCCCGCTTTTTGGAGTGCTTCGCCTCGTACCCGACGCTCGCCAATGTCTCAAACATGTCTGGGTTGAGCATGATGTTGGAGCCCGTGACCACTGAGGTTGTGGAATCCCCTGCCCGAAGACTCTGACACGCCAGATGCAGCGCCGTCAGGGTTGTCGAGCAGCCTGTATCCACCGTCATGCTGGGACCACGTAAATCGTAGAAGTGGGATATCCGATTGGCACCCATGGCGGCGCCGTTGCCGGTGAGGAAGTACCGTGGGAGGAAGTCAGGGTCACGCATCAGCGTGTCGTGGTAGTCCCGGAAGGACGCCCCTGCAAAGACCGACGCCTTACTCCCCGCAAATTGTTCCATAGGAATGCCGGCTGGGCTGGTTAGTATGCCTTGGAACCTTGTCGGTCTCGGGAATTGAAACCTGGCTTACCGCTTTCCAAAGCCTCATAAACGCCTTCGAGCTGCATGCGCAGCTGTGGATCCATGGACTGTGATATTTTAGCTCACTCTTGTCTTTTTGACATGTGCCACTAGCAAACAAAAACCAGGACTTACCTCTGCTACCTCAGCAGGGAAGCTGAAAAACGGTGCGTCAAAGTGGGAGACATCCCGCTCGAGGAAGTGAGCGCCCTGAGCGTTAGACTAAGAATGTCATCAGCAGTCAGCATGTAGAGACAAAGAAAAAGCTGTTCCTGGCCACAAGTAGAAGAATTGCGCAGAACTAGCAAGGAAATGCGTGAAACCTACGACGCCTGCTCTCGTGCCCTCAGGGTGGTAAAATGCGGTCTGATTATAGCGGGATTCAGGGACCTTGGTCCAGGTATTGCGTCCCTCTGCAAGTAGTTCCCAAAGTTTCTCCGGGCTATCAGCTCCGCCAGAGAAGCGGCAGCTCATGCCAACAATGGCGATAGGTATCGTGGCGGGTTCCATAATGGTAAGCAGTTGTGTGCGGCCTGTTATTGCTCGCTCCCGGGTGTCTCCGCGCCAGATCAGACACTCTAGCGTCGCGAACCGCACAGTTGTTGAAGGAAATTAGGAAAATAGGTTGTAGAGGCTGAAGTGAAGCATCGTCAATGGATATGGGCAGTGCCTTGAAGAGAGCTGGTAACTTGATGACATCGGTAATCCAAGCTTATGGAACTTTCTTAGGTGCACCCCAGGCTTCACCCATGCACGATGCCAGTATAGGTGAACGTATACGCCGCACGCACTGAACGGATTACGGCACAAATATGAGCTCAGGGGCCCGGTCGGGTACATGTATTCACCGTAAAACAACTAATTGCTTACGGTGATGCTAAAATTATAAGGTTCTCGTGGTCGATGGAAATATTATAGAACCCGGCTGCCTTGCTTATTCTTACGATTACCATTACCATTACGACCCGGACTTTCGCACAACGTTACTCTTACAAGCCATCCATGACTATCGACGAAGGAGTGGAGCGTCGCAGGCTGCAGAATCGCATCGCCCAACGCAGGTTTCGTCGTTAGTAGGCCTAAGGAGAAGCCCCTTGCAGGCAGATGAGGCTAACCAACGGCCCCAGAAAAACACAGCAAGAAGAAAAACGACTCTGTGGCGTCCGATCAGATCGCCGGCGACGAGGGAGACGGCCGAACCGGGGTCGACAACCAGCTTCACACCCACTTCCCGACGACCTCAAACTCGGAAGAGATAACATCGGCTGTCACGGCTGACTCTGCGAGCACCATGGGGAGTTTAGGTTTGTGCACACCAGTGTCAAACCTGCATGAACCATCTCCTCCAGATGCGCTTCCCGTGAGCTTGGAGGCTGTTCTCTCGAACCTATCCGCCGATCTACCTCTCATGGGAAACCTCACCAGCAAGGACCTGTCATTAATGTACCCCGATTCGCTGAGCACCGCGAGCCATTCCATACCTATCGAGTCTAATAACACACCTCCGATAGACCCGTCACTCGGCGACGTGGCGTCATCTGGGGAGGAGTCCAGCGGATGGATGAGCACGCTACATATGGCTGCACAAAAAGGCCACGAGGGAATCATGTGCGTTCTCCTAGAACACTCAACAAACATCAACGAAAGGGACAGCGATGGGAGAACAGCTCTAATGCATGCCGTGATCCACGGCCACGCAGGTATTATAATGTTGCTCCTAGAGCGGGGGGCACGGCCAGGTGACTTGGACAACAGGCGCCAGTCTGCTGTCTACTGGGCCGTCGTCCAGCGAAACGGGGCCATTCTCAAAATTTTACTAGAACATTGCGTACAAGAGAAGGACATGGTGGAGCAGATTGACTCTTACGATTCCTCTTTCAGGACCCCATTACACACAGCTGTCGATTTGGGATTCGAAGAAGGCGTACGCCTATTGCTTAGTTTTGGAGCGAATTTGCATTGTAGAGCCCGTATGGACATATAGTTAACGAATCACGATGAACGGGAGGATTTAACATCTGACCCACAGAGCATAAAAAGCCAGATATTTAGAAATTAGAACAGTCTATTAGAATTTAGGCGTAATGAAGCCACCTAGTAATTGCCGTGTCTACCCGCCTTCAAGCTTAACGCCGGCAGTCAACTACCTGCGGACTCCCTGCGGACATTTGCACGCGGGATATTACTGTTGCCTCCCCGTCATATTTCCCCGGCCTGTTAGCTCCGGCACCGGTTAGTTACCGTGCCGGGATCGCGGTACTTTTGTCATGGGAGAGAAACCAAAGAAGAAAACGGAGCGAGTGAAAGCCCGCGTCCGTCCGACCTCGTCTATGTAGAGACCTCAGCACATGTACTTTTGCCGCCCTGCCTCCTAATTAATAAAAAGAATCATGCGCAATGAGTCATTGCAGGCCAGGCCTTGTCGTCACTGCTGATGTTGCACGCTGACAGGCTCCCCCATCCTCCACTTTCTCGCCGCATAGCCCCTGTTTATGGATAGAATTATACCAGACCTAATCAGGGGTAGTGGTCAGACTTTAGGCATATTTAATTATAGCACAGCCGGGACGGGCACTCATTGGTCAAAAGCCGAGGCAGGCTTTCAACCCTGGTCAATACCAGGGGTTGTGCTGGACTTTGAATCAATCTCGGGGGAACTTATCAATCCCGCGAAAGTTATCAATCTAACTCAACTTATTGATCCCACGCGTGGTGGGATTGCCTACCCTATACCTTGGTTGAGCAACCTCAACCTCTGTGGAGGACCCTTCTTGATGGCTCTTAGTGCCGGATTGTAACTACCTCAATATGTATTCGGAACGAAAATTTACTCTAGTGGAAAGGGTAATTGGATCATGGTCTGATATTGATGCAGTAAAAGTGATAAGACAATGGCGATTCGATTCATATTGCGGGAGGCAGCCGAGTGGCAACTACAAGGCAGTAGAGAACAGTCTTCACAAACCCAGTACATGGCATGTCATCGCAAGGCAAGGCTGTTTACGGAGTAGTCTAACTAAATTGGAAAAGAACAACCCCATAAAATATTTCTGTCCAGGGCTCACCCAACCCCGGGCAATAAAGGGGCATTCTCAGAAGTCTCCGGTGATCGATTCTATCCGAAACTGTGACGGAACGACTGGGGCTTGTCTTGAGTCAGTTCGGTGACATTCTACGGTATATTGTAAGCACCGAAGACTGGGCGATGTAACCTCATGCCAATGCATTGAATCCTATAACTGCCGTCCGAACCGAATCCCTGCTCTTGGCTTAATGTCAATCACCTAACTACAGGTTAAGCAGATCAACTCCGCCAGACGTAAACTTCCACGTTGTCGACTCCCAGCCCTCACGCCTCTTGATACGAATCCCAAATCCAGCCCCGTTGTGTGCTGGCTTACAAACAGCATCAGCTGCTGTGCATTTGTCCATTGCCGGAGGCACAAACGTCTCCCAGTTTCCGTCTTCCGGCGCCACGTCAAACGAGAGAATGAAGGATACCATGAATCCCAGATTCTCGCCAAATGCGAAATTGCGACCTGGGCAGAGGTGCTTTCCTCCACCAAAGGGCGCATACGAGGTCCGTCTGAGCTTAGCCTTTGCAGCATCGGCTTGCAGAAACCTGTCGCTCGAGAACTGGGCAAAGTCATAGCCCCAGGCTTCTGTGTCCTTGTGCAGGTGATCAAGGGGGATTCGCACGCTGTTTCCTGCTTTGAGGAGATATGAGCGGCCCTCACCGTCTTGAATTGTCGTGTCCGCCAGCACCTCGCGGCTACTCACTGCCCCATTGCTTATCCGGATGGCTTCCCTGTAGCAGCTCACAATAAGGGGGCACTCCTCTGTGAGCACATCTAGGTTAATCGTAACCGTGCCTCCAGCATTGTCCCCAACCATTCGCATCAATTCATCTCGGACACGCTCGACCAAAGCTGGCCTCGTGACAATGTGCGCAAAAAACCAAAATAGTGTTGGGATGCTGTTTGATGTTGACACATGAAGCAGCGCAAGCTCATGAACGCCGATTGTCGTTCCCGTCGTCACAAACTTTCTGATGACATCGGCTCTTTGGTGAGTGACGGCGGAAACATCGCTGTTGGCATCTTTCTTGTCGTGATAATACTCTCCAAGTGCATGTTCCAGTCTGTGCCTGGCCTCTAACCCCTCTGGTGCCGTGTAGGATGGGAAAAGGCCTAGAAGCAGCGTAGGTAGGTCCTCATCAAACCTCCTAAAAGATAAGAATATGTTAATTCAACGAAGAAACGTTGGTTGAAGGGATTTGAAATCCAGATACGTACCAGAGATCATAAACGAGACTGGGTTGTTCCCTCAGCGGGTTCGCAGATCCGTACAGTGCCTCGGTTGTGGCCACGGTCATCAGATTCCGGACCCAGACATAGGCGTTATCAATGACGGACTCCTCGTCCCCAAACGCGCCGAGCTCCTTTGTGATATACTTGAGAGCAGTCCCGTTCATTTGGCTGATGCGGTCTCTTGCCATCCCCTCCGTCATGGCTTTGGCAAATTCTAGCCTGAGATTGGTGTCTTGAACCTTTTCCGGGACTCCTCCCTGATCAACTTCCCGGGGCACATAGACGATGAACGGGACAAACGAAAGGTCTTTGTTGCGGAAGGCGGATTGAATAAGATTCGTATCCCACATGACATATGTTATGCTGCCGAAAAGGGGCACTGAACAGATTCCCTTGCTGGCTCTCTTGCTGTTCACATTTTAGCCTTGATCACTTTGGCTTCATAAATATGCGCCTCGCTGAATCCACATACCCGAGTCTAGTGAAATACTCATTTTGATACCGGATTAATCCAACCAAGTGTCCAATAACCGGGATGCGGGGCTTCACAAGGGGAGGTTCACGAGGGTCAGTACTCGGTGACGATAGGTAGTTCAAAAGAAGCCCAACTAGAACTATCACTGCCGCTGTGATCACAAACTTATTCGTTTGGAACGGCAAGCTGCCAGATGCTTCAGTCGGAGACGACATGGCTGTCGAACGGGTGCTGCGAACAAAGGCCCACTGACAATTTGAAATGTGTCTGAGACGCGGACAAGGGAAAGCTGGAGTTAGAATTAGTGATTGCTGTTTCAATGATCTCTAATGGATTGGCTCTCATTCGTTTATGGTGATGGGCCCAACCGGTGCTCATTATGCGCCTTCAGTGCTCAAGTAATTTATTGTCATTGCGTTTCAATACCATGCGATGACATTATACACGCCCTGTAAGCAAGAAGCCCACATAATCAATCGTTGATTCTGCTTACGGTCTTGATGACCGGTAGTTCGCCTAGTACCTAGCTATGTGAAAACGGTACATGATCGTCCGCACTGATTCCCATCTCTCGACCTAACCATAGGAAGCCGATGCCGGATCATCCCACTAACGCAACGCATCTCCCCTGCCATTCCACGACTCTCCAACGCAAGCTTGTTATTAGCCACGCTCTCTCTTGAGAATTATATATCCCCAAGGTTTGGTATCTTTATCGGCCTCCC